ATACAAGATCACAAACAAACACACGGCAGGTATTTGCACATGGTTAGTTTCAAACTATGTAGCAGGAGAGCTGCACAATGTTCTGATGGTTTCTACACTGCATCTCGTACAGCAGCCACTGGTCGTTTCAGACGTGCTTCACAACTCACGTTAGCCACGAGCTAATGGAACAAGCTGTGAATAAACACGAGGCTTAACTGGAAGCTAAGAGCATTTCCATTCTTCAGGTAGAGATAACACGTTGTCATGAAAGTTCATGGTTAAAAAAAAAACCCTTATAAACATGTAGTGGAGACAGAGGAACCAACAATGACACGGGATCTCACGAGGAGAGGCGGCTACAAAACTCAGTTTGCTGAAGAAGACACCTACATGTGGCTGAGAGCTCCAGGACACGCTGGTTAGGTTCATGTACAATCTGAATGTTGTGTCAATCCTCACACAAATGTTTAGGAACCCAGCAAAATCAAAACTGTGACATGCAGGAGGAGAGTTTTTACGTTCTCTTAACAAAGCTTTCTACAAAGGTCAGTCCACCCAAATCATGAATACACGTGTCCTCGCATAACTCGAGCATCAAGCCATGTAGGTGCTACCTTTCTCTCCTCAGGTCTGAACAGATACACAAGAAAAACAGCAGCACGAGCTGTTGGTTCAACTGGCCAATGAGAATCCTTGTTCCCATGACGTCACTGAGACGTCTATCTGTCAGCAGCTACGATGAGAAGGTGAAGCTGGTAAAGCTGAGACACTAAAGACTGGTTCTGGGTTCCTCGTCAAAGTCAGGATGAGACTCTTTAAACCGCAACCACAAGTTTTATCAAGGCCGGTTCACCTGGACAGGTAACCAGTCTATCACAGGGCTACACTTAGAGACAGACAACCAAGCACACTCACATTCACACCTACGGACAATTTACAATCACCAATTAACCTCAACATGTTTTTGGACTGTGTGGGAGGAAGCTGGAGAACCCGGAGAGAACCCACGCTGCACGGGGAGAACATGGACACTCCACGCAGATCCCAGGTGTTCTCACTGGGACTTGAACCGGCGACCTTCTAGCTGTGAGGCGCCGGTGCTAACCACCACCTTGTTGCCCCCGCCCCAAAATATTGATTTAAAAAAAAGGATCAAAAAGTGAAATGGTGTACCATCTTCCCAGTAAACCTAGTGGTGCTGATTTATATCCACGTTCTCCCCAGACCGAGGCTTTGGTTCAGGGTGTGAATCATGTATTTTCACAGCCTGAGTGAAGGCCGCTGCCTTCATTTTTTGCCATATGTTGTTTTCTATTTAGGAACAGTGTAAAGTGGAGTTTTACCAAAGATCTGGTCGGTGTTGGAGCCAGTGAAGGTGTCTGATAATCGGCCCCTTCTCTTTTTGACTGAACTAACAACGTCCGGCCATCTGAGCCGTGGTGCTCAGAACCACATCGGTACCACATCAGTCCTCCTGTTTCTTTGAGGTCTGTGAGACACAATTAGGTGACTCAGAGATAAAGAGCTCACTGACAATATAGAAACCAAACCTCCCACGTACTGTCTGTTAGTGAAGCAAGTGGTATAATTTCACTTTCCGTCATGAAAACCTCTTCAGTGAAACTATATCAGGAAATCTTCCTTCTTCTCTACAAACACCCACAAAAACCTGTAGCATTTAGAAATGAGACCGAAAAAGCAGAAGTGTGAGCCCATCAAAACTGGAAGTGCTGCAGAGCGTCGTACAGTGAAACCCTGATGTGAGCCTGGTGGTTTTCTTGTTTATCGCTGTGGAGGACATGTGTGAACTGTTGGTAAAACTGTAAAAGAAGGCGGTGCGATGGCCTGGTGTATCCCCTGGAGGAGCACGAGCATCGGTGCAGGTTTCATTTAACACCGGGGGGCATTGGGGCATCAAACACTTCCTGTTGAGTGTCGATGCATCACGTAGTGCCTTTTCTGCATCAGTTCATGAAAGAAACGTCTATTTATGAAAAGAAAACCACAAACTTCTGGCCACAGGTAATTTAATGTATAATATATATATATATATATATAATGCAGTGAGCCATCTAGCGCTGCTTTTTAATATTTATTCTCCTGTAGATTAACTTTAATTGGTTAACTTTTGACCCTGTTGAGGCAACACACACAAATAAGATTTACTGAGCAGACCAGTGAACAACTCGTCTATAAACAAACTGTTAGTAGTGACACACAACGGACTCGCTTCTGAGACTATTTGAGGAAGAAATGTTCTCACGTCAGACCTGCTTCTGCTTTCCCTTCTGGCCTGTTACCAGCCTGTGGGGCACCACAGGTCTTTAAAATAAATGTCCTGTGCATCGTTCCTGCTTTAACCGGGTGATGCTCATGAGGTGGACGTTCATCAGATTCTGCACCCACAAGGATAAATAAGAGATATAGTCACACTCCGGTCAGGACAGAAACCTAATCACTATGTTTCTGCTAATCTATGTCTCTTCTTCATGAGTTAACTTTAGTCCCTTTGACTCAATTTTTTCCGCTGTATTGGACAAATTAATGACCAGATTTCCGGTTTTCTTTCTGAATCAAGACAACAATGAGGCGACCGTTGAGCCCAAAATAAAAACAGCAGGTTGAATCAGTCCATAAAAAGACCGTTAAAGACATGAAGCTGAACTTGCACCGTTATTCTGCACCTTCTGCTAAAAACAAAATTAAAAAGTACATTTAAAGAAAATCGCCCCACAGCTAGAAGATCCCGGGTTCATGTCCCGGTCTGGGGTCTGTGGGGGGACCGGATCCATCCGTTATCTAGGGATGTGGGCCGGCTGGAGTCCAGGGACTCGGGGTGAAGGCCACCAGGTCACCGGTCTACCACTTCAGAATCATCAATTATTAACTAATTGATTAATTGTGGACCAAGACCAGGATGCCAACCTGTGGTCTTCTAGCTGTGAGGCGACGGTGCTAACCACCGAGCAGAAAAATAAATCTGACTGTAGGACTGAACATGAAGTGTTCTCGGTTCAGAGCTGATCTGTTGCACTTCTTCTGCCTTTTTCACCAGAGAATGAAAATCCCGGACAGAGCTTCAGCTGAACAATAAACAGTGAAGGTGTTTTATTGTGTGCTGCTCCTGTAGCTCTGGAGTGCAGCTTGATAAATAAAATGGAAACACCTGACAAACGACAGCAGCGTCCTCAGCTTTTCTGACCCTCGAATCAACAGCGAGGGCTTCAGTCTGAACACACACAGCTGCGTATGAGACTGCAGCGTCTTTGAACAGAGACCCAAACCTCCATCAGATGTGAACAAGACAAGCTGAGGTGACAAACCATCGAGGTAATAATACAACCAACTAGTTAGTCACAAACCAGCATCCTTGATGAAGTCTGTCCTTTTATTCAACTCTCAGAGGAACACATCTGACTGAGCCTTTGCTAAGCTGTGCCACATTTAAAAACGTCTTAAATATGCATTTGTAGGCTGCATTCATGATATTACTCTAAAAATAACCGAGACTTTGAATATTTGATGTCTTTCTCTTTATCTCTTGTGACAGTAGATTAAACATCTTTGTGTGCTGCTTGGTCAGCTGACTACATCCAGTGGTTAAACAGCATCATGTCGAATACAGTAAACATTAAAGTTCCTGTTTAGGACTGCAAGAACTGTTCTGGACGCAGCTACATTGCATTTTAGTTTGCAATTCCACCTGCTTTGCTCAAGACAGCATCAGCCAAGTTTGCCGATACACAGGTTACGTTCACATTTAGCCTAAACGGTGATACTTCAATGGGTCTTTGGTTCACAAGTAAACGAAGCTACGCGTCACCGAAAACCATCACATCTGAAAACTCCAGCCAAAGTGGACATTTGGAAAAACTCCGTCTTTACGTTAGCATGAAGACAGGAGGAGGCGGAGTCTGACGTCACAGTAAGTGACAAAATCAGCATCATGTGTGCGACCATGTTTACAGTGTGGCTATGTCCATATATGGACTGACGTGTTTACAGTTGATGTTTTCAGTGTTTCCTTGTTGTGTCGCTGACCCACATGTAGGAGCAGCTCCACTTCTCTGTCCGTCCAAACAAACCACCCTCACCCATTATTGTTGAAGTAACAGGAAGTGTTCATTGTTGTGTGTTTTTTCCAGGATTCTGATTGGCTAGCATGGCTTTATGCTTCTCGTTACACTGCCCCCTGTAGGTCTGGCAGCTCATAGCAGCTCTTAATGACGTGTTTATGAGCGTTTGTGTGAATTAAGGTTTTTTTGAAAACGTTCTGGTGTGAACGATGTTATTTTTGAAAACGTAGATCCGTTTTTATGAATACTAGCTACGTGTGAACGTGGCCTAAATGCTAATGGCACAAACTGAAACTATGAACCAATCAGTAAGGGTCCCTGTGAGAAATGAGGGTCTTTGACATGATACGCTGTAGGCATTGGGACACTGTGGAGGGCAGCTGACTGCATCCCAGGAAGGTCTCAGTGTTTCACACACACACACACACACACACACACACACGTATATATGTATATATATATATGGATTCTGTTAAATAAATATAACAAAATCTGTTAGAGACAGATGTTATTTGACAAAATCAGCGGTTGCCAAAAATAGAAGATGCTTTTGTCTCCTTTTGGATTGTGATAGTAAAACTGCCACCGATGTAAACTTCACGGTCTGCAGTGTCGTAATGAAAAACTTGGCAGGTTCGCACAAATAACTCAGCTCTATATGGCACATGGAACATCGCTGGAAGAAGACAGGTGCAAAATGTTAACTAATTTAACACGATTATTCTGTGAGAGAAACGAATAACAAAAAGCACCGACAAGCTCAGTGGAACAAACGTCAACCTTAGCGGACAGTGACCCTACATCGGCTGTTCTCTGGTCTGTGCTGATCGGTGGAAGGGCTCCTGCAACAGATACTGATGTATTATTTCGATTTTGCACTTCATGTTCTCCATCTCCACACAGAACACTAGGATCCTCATCCCACCGCTGCTCACCAGGAGTTCACTTGTAGAGCAGCTGCAGCCGGCTGGTGTGACAGTTATTTCGGCTGATCTTGCTGTCTGGCTGGTAGAGGCTAGACGAGTTTGCAAAGGACGGAGGGATGGGATGGAGGTCGGAGGTGGGCGCAGGGTAGCCGGGAGGAGGAGCTAGAGACCTGGGGTCGCTGTGGGTGATGGTGTGTGGAGGCGGGCTGTGGTTCTGGTTGGTGATGGTGGATGCTCTCCTCCTGGATCGCAGGGCCTGGCGCTCAGACAGCTGGTTCCTCAGCTCTGACACACGCTCCTCTTTCTGAGGGAACGAAGAGCAGGAAGAACTTAACACACACTTCAATTCTGTTTCTAATTCTAGTCAAGTATTCTGCTCATTCACATTTTCAGTGACGTTAATGAAGAACATCATACATCCAGAGAATCCGGAGGGATGTGACTGAGGAGTGCACACAATACAAATCAGTTCGTTTTAGCCAAAATCTCATACAAACGTATGAAATCTTAACTCAGGAGAAGCATCACTTACTGTGATATTTCAGATTCAGCACACGTGCAACTGGACAGAACCTCACAGCAGTCTGGTACCATCATGTGTATGAGGTGTCTGCGGACGTGTTTCGATCAGCCACAGCAGTAAAACTAATGTCAGGTGAATAACACTGATCATTATATGACAGTGTGATGTTCTGCTGGGAAACCTTGGCTCAGGACCTTCACATGGGAAGACTGGAGGAGCACAGATCATGTTCTGCCCCGGTCCAGGGGAACCAACATGAATTGTGCTCCCCCAGTCCTCCCACTCCAAGAAAGGCCAGCGACCAGTAAGTTCAACAAGAGGAGATTTTTATTTCCTTCAGAGGGAGACATGAGCCGACATGATAAACACAAATACTCTAACTTAACCCTGAACAAAAGAAAAGTAAATAAATGATAATAACCTCACCCACCTCCTATGAAAGTCAAAAACAAGAGAAAAAGGGTTAAAATATATTTACAATACTTTACAGGTTTTCACAAAGTTCACAGAAGTCCACCGTGCACCAGCTACTAACTAACTAACTAACTAACTAACTAACTAACTAACTAACTAACTAACTAACTAACTAACTAACTAATTAACTAACTAGTGCTGCTGCCTCCTCCTACAGCACAGACAACAGAGATGTGTCATGCCGGCTAAATACTACAGATGACCCATAACGCGTGATACCTAATCACACAAACTGCTCAGGAAAAGCTCAAGAAACATGACCAAGAGCTCCAGACAGTGACCCCACGTCCAGTTTCTCAAATTTCCCAATCTGATCGAGTAGAACTGGTCTATGGGGGCCCCAATGTTAGGCAGCTGGTTTTAATTTCAGGGTTGTACAACATCTAAACCACCTTCATGCTGATGTGTGTAGTTGATCTGTGACGGTGTTTGGGTGGGTGTTGCATCTCATAGGAACATCCACATGAACCTGAGGTTTCCCAGCAGAATGTTGACTTGGAACATGATGAAAAGACCAGTTGAACAGATGTTCATTTTAGCTGTCAGTGGATTTATTGTTGTGGCTGATGGTGTATACATCTAAGGTGTGGACAGGTGTGATGACACCTGAGCAGACTCTGCGGAGGAAGGCTATAAGAAGCTACCTGCTGAATGTGAAGGGAAATGAGGAATAAAAAGACAAGCCTGTGGACAAGACAAGGGCCTGGCTGACCTCCTGAATGATCTTCTGCAGCTCCTTGTTCTCTCTCTCGAGCTGCCTGGACTTCTCCTCGTCATTGTTGTTGGTGGAAGAGCCCGTCTTCATGGTCTCCTGGGCATCTGACTGCCACTCCCCCCGGGTGATCAGGCGCCGCATCTACAGGACACGGACACGCGTTCCTCACTGAAGAACACCATCTAGTGTGCTGTTACTGCTGAAAGTTAAAGGTGGTCTAATAGTTTGGTGAGACACTTCTGCATGGATTCTACATTCAGCTGACCTGGGACCAGTTATACCAGATGCTTTGAGGCTTCTCATGTTGTTAAAAACATACAAGAACTATGCTTTACAGACGAGGTCTCACAAGTTAATGTTGTACAGGTGAGCTAGGAGCGGCCTGTCGTGTTAGACTTTGGTTTCAATCTGCACAAAAATGGCTCTGCTGGAGGTGAAAGGTCACTGTAGACCTTCAGAAGGGTGGAAGTTAGATTTCTGGTGTTTGGTGTAGATGAGAAGCCACATCGGGGCTTTCTGTTGGTGATGGTATATCTGACCTTGTATGATATTTCATGGTCATACATCTTGACTGCACGGTGCCAGATGGACACATTCTTTGTGTTGGGAACCATGTGTAGGCTTCCCACTGGGTCAAACTCAAGGTCAAACATTTGGATACTGCCATTGCACTTGAACTACAATACCATGTGATGTATACATGGATAGAACCCTTTATGCTTCAGACAACCATCCAACCATGACTAGTGAAAGTCGTGGTTGGAAAGTCCCAATCATCAGGGGCGACCATGCTCCTCTACTGAGGGCCCTCTAGTTTTATCAGGTGATGAATCTGCTGCTGTAATGTGCAGGGATGCGATACAGAGGAGAGAACAGCGCTCTGGTTTTACCTTGGGGACGAACAGAACCACCAGGGTGATGTAGACCGAGAAGATGATGGCCAGAGAGGCGAAGGCGAAGGAGGCGTCCTGCTGCGAGGACAGGATCATGGTGACCGGGGCTGTGATCATGCACAGCACCTGAGGAAGACAGAAACCACGTGTTTAGTGGTTTCATTACAGTATAAGAAACCCTGTACAAGCCAGCTCAGAGAGGGCACTCGAGACGTTAAGAAAAAAATAAAAAATAATTTTAAAAAAAAATTAAAAATTAAAAAAAATTAAAAATGTAAAAAACATCTTTATATTTCTACTTTTATTAGCCTTTTCTTTTATGGATTCATTTTTATTAATATTAATATTGCTTTATATTGCCACATTAGTTATTATTTATTTTATTTATTCTTCTTTTAATTCCCACTTTTATGTCATTATTCTTTTATTTTTGTAATTTGGCGTTCTCACTGCTCCATAGTCTAGACCTGACTGTGTAAAGGTGCTAACCACTGAGCCACCTTGCAGTCTAATTACAGACCCTTTTAAAAAAAAATATTTGGGACATCAATACATCTGACTGAATGCAACTTTTAGATTGTATTATTGTTTTATGTATAGTTGCTTTCGCAGCACAGATTTCATTTCTGTCATCTCTAACGAACACCAGGAGGAGATGAATTACAGGAGGTGTGAGGCAGAATGTGAGAGGGACACAGACAGAGCACGGCTTCAGATGAAACACGAGCGGCGTGGAGCTAAAGCTGGAAATCAATACTCATTGATCAACAGCCAGCCATCGCTGTGCAGGAGCTGAAAATTCTCATCGAAACCAGCAAATGGAAGCAGCGGGCCGAGACCAGCAGCAGCCACATCTTCTCCACGGTGTCATTACTTACACACAGCGACGCACAAACACAATCCGGCTCTGCGCTCGCACACAATCCGTCCAATTCATTTCAGCCATCTCACTCTAACAAATGGCATTTCGGTGCACTTGGGATTCTGGGGATAACCGTGATCGCTGATCTGGAGACGGACTGTTTCCACAGAGAGCAGCCTTTACACAGAGCGCTGCTTCATTACAATGTGGGTCTAATTCGGTAGGTTTGTCCACCGGTCCTAGCCTACCTTCAGACCTAGAAAACAGTCAAACATCTATGATATCCATTCCAACATGGCTGCATGACTTTGGTGATGAACCTGGAAGTGATTTACAGAGGAACGTTATCAATCACTGGACTTTAACAGCATTATGTGCTGTCATTTGTACTTCACTTTGGTATTCCTAAAGTGTCAGCATACGTGTGTCATATATATAATGAAGCTACTGCTGCTGTGTCACCTACATGAAGGCTGCAGGGCGCCTGGATCCTGCTTCATGCTACAGCTGTCTGATAAAGCTGAAGGAAAGAAGGCGACGTTGGACGCTCAACGTAAGCTGTTGTCTGAAATTAGTTCCCTAGATGTGTTGAATGCTGCAAAACTGAAGAAGACGGAGTTGAGCTCCAACAGTTTGGAGATCAGAAGGTGCAGCTCCGGTCCAGTGGGCTCTGGGCCGGTTCCAGCTGTTAGCAGCGATGGCTGGGAGGCCGGTCGACGCAGCTTCTCAGTTTTTTAAGCGTTGCTTGCTGCTGATAGGAATATGTTTTCATGTCCTGCCGTCTGATAGAAGATGTGGACCACCTGCTGTGGGAACACGTCTCGGCATAAAACCTGCTCCTTCCTGTTGCCAATTTGTGATGCTAAGATTAAACGCTGAGTCTGTCGCTCTGCTTGGATCAACACGTTTAAAAAAAAAAACATGTTTTATCACTTTGGTGTTACAGAGCCTGGTTCTGATGTCTATTTCTGAGCTCTCTAATATCCACATCAAGACTACTGAGTCTGGGTTTGTGATGCCCATGAAACTGAAAACATGACTTTTGAATTCTCTTTTTTCACACTTTTAAGTAAACAGCACAAATCAGTTTTATTCTAACTACTGTGCAGAAGATCTCAGAAACAGAGCCTGCTAGCATTGCTAAGATCAAACTAATCTGTGTTAGAAGAAGAGGGGCATCTAAGAAGCCTCGTCCTCCTGAAAACCAGACCGAACCAGGACAGACAGAGGAAACAGCAACAAACGCATGGTGATTTCTTTCCCTGCACCAATTTGCATTTCATCCACTCAGCTTAGATTTAAATTGGGCTCAGAGCATAATGGATAATCCTCAGCGATGAATTAAAATAAAACGATGGGAATGAAAATCACAAAAGCAGCCAGACTGGAGATGCTGCTGATTAAGAAGCTACTTCCAGTCAGTGTGTGTGTGTGTGTGTGTGTGTGTGTGTGTGTGTGTGTGTGACAGACTGAGGCAGCAGCAGATGCCTCGCTCGTCTTCTATATTGTCATGTGGAATACTTCAAGTGAAATTTGGCTGCAGTGAAAGGACTCCTTGTTCCTGAATACGCTTTACGAAGCTGAATAATTGATTGTTTTATCTGGCTGTGTGACACAGCAGACAGGTCCGTCCAATTATAGACACAGAGCTGGCACGTCTTTGAAGACATCTGAGAACGACAGATGTATTCACGCTGTGGAGATGAAAATCCTTCAGAAACCCGATCGCATGCGAGCCTTGTCTGCCTGCTCTTAGACGGGAGTTTTCATGTAGGGCAGGGGTGTCGAACTCCGGTCCTTGAGGGCCGCAATCTTGCAAGTTTTAGACATTTCCCTCTTCCAACACACCTGATTCAAATGATGAGGATCGTTATCAGGCTTCTGCAGAGCTTGATGATGAGCTGATCATTTGAATCACGTGTCTTGGAAGAGAGAAACATCTAAAACATGCAGGATTGCGGTCCTCGAGGACCGGAGTTTGACACCCCTGATGTAGGGTGACCAGTCCATCACAGGGCCACACACAGAGAGACAGACGACCAAACACACTCCCATTCACACCTACTGATAATTAGAATCATCATCCTTATCCTGTGAGGAACCGTAGCACCTGGAGAAGGCCCATGCAGGGAGAACATGCAGAACACAGAAAGACCTGAAGGACCTTTGTTGTGTATGTTACCGCTACGTATTTAATTAAAGTTAAAACATCTTTCTGTGTAAATATCTCATGTTCCAACGTGGACACCTGCAGCTTAGAGACCAGTGCGGCCTGTATATGTACACACCTGGTTTTCTGTTTAAAGTCAGTGGGTGGGGCTTTTATTCAGGTGCCTCTATAGTCCAGGATTTCAGGTACTTATTGTGTACCTTAAAAGGAGCATCACCTTTCCCTGCAAAGCTGCTGCTTTTAGTACAAACTGCTGTGGGAAACCTGTCAGGTTCTGAATCATGTGGCTCTGCATGGGGTGTCGGGTGTTTTCTTCCACGCTCCATTTACAATAAACTGAGCTGGTGGGTGGCCTGCTTCTTAGCCAGCACCACAACCAGCTCACTTTTGGTTTCAGTTGCTGCTTCTTGAAATGTTGCTGTTTAACTAACTTGCACTGCAGTCAGCTGAATATAAAAGTGGGCTGACTTTAGCACAAGACACACGTCAGCGAGTGTAAAAGAGTTTACAGGCAGCACTGTGTCTTTTCTCTTCCATGTAAAATTTAACACAAGCGGTTTTATGTCTGTTAAGTCCCTATGAAGCTGTAAGAGTTCTGATTCCTGTGCACGTCTTGAAAACCTTCTCTGCCTCTACGGTCCTTCTGTGTGCCACAAGCATCGCATGGCCTGTTTAATGACACAATGCTTTGTGTGTGCGCTCAGGTGAGAATTTTATCATCAGACATTCTGACCTGCAGCAGACAGAAGTGACAGAAGCACATGTCTCAACAGTGACAGCAAACACCTGAACGTCTGCAGTGTGTCCTACAAGCCCTGCACAGGAGGTCAGAGCTGGAACCTTTCTTCATCCCGTTTGATTTCATGGATGGAGCTGAAACAACAGGACGTGGGTCATAACTGCCACTGAAAATAATTTTCTCTAAAATTAAATCAAACAATATATTCATTTTCAAAGTAGTTGTTCAAAATAGCTTTCTGTTGAATGATTGGTTATATAACAAAACGTTTCAGCTCTCCATACAAGCCTGTCAGATGGTGCAGAGAGCATACCACCGTCTAACTCAGGTGTCTACTGTGGCATACACAAAGAAACTGAGGGATTTGGACATGTGACTTTATTCCTGATGATGAGGACGTATCGCAGCTGTGTCAGCTCAGGTCTACGTGTTCTGGGTGCTTTGCAGTGTCAGTTTTAGGACACACCTTCTGGCCACCACGCCCTCATTGAAGCCCTCAGACTGGGCTCGAGGTGAGCTTCAGCGCTGAGGATGACAGACCTTCCTCAGCAGAGCGTGAAGCCAAAGACAGGTCAAAGAAGAAATGACAAGCTTGCTGAGAGGAGCTGCGCTGGTAAAGGATTGGAAATGAAAGTCTGCAGTCGAACACAGGGCCTGGAGAGAGGCATGCAGCTGACAAACACATCAGTCTGGCAGCCAGCAGCCCAAACATACGCATACAGCACATTTAAATAGACAGGCTGTCCAGGCCCAGAACTCAGTCCACTGGAACAATTTGTCCTCAGATTTCTTTCTGAGATGAGCCCAGGATGGTACATTCAGAATCCTGTGGTGGTAGTTTGTACCGTGGAGAAGAATGAACGCTGTTCTGTTGCAGTGACTTTCAGAGGAAAATGAAAGTCAAGGTATAAATGTACAGCTGAAACCAGAAGTTTACATCCACTGTATGAAAAGACAGAAAACCTCCTTATCTCTCTGATATTAAATCAGACTAAACTCTTCCTGTTTCAGCTCAGTCAGGATCACCAACATTATTTCTATTTGCTAAACGCCAGAATATTGAGAGAGAGAATTTTCAGTTTTCATTTTCCATACACTAAGATGCCTTCAAACTATTTGGGAAAGCCCAGATGATGATGTCATGGCTTTGGAAGCTTCTGATAGGTTAATTGACAACATGTGAGTTACCTGGAGACACACCTGTGGATGTAATTTAAGGCACACTTCAAACACACTGCTTCCTTCTGTGACAACATGGAACATCTAAAGAAACCAGCCAAGATATCAGGAGGAGAACTGTGGACCTCCACCAGTCTGGTTCATCCTTGGGTACAATGTCCAGATGCCTGAAGGTTCCATGTTCATCTGTTCAGACAGTTCTATCAAGTATAACCACCATGGGAATGTCCAGCCATCATAGGCTCAGGAAGGAGACGGTTCTGTGTCCAGAGATGAAGTGTTCTGGTTGGAATGTGCATATCAACCCCAGAACAGAAGCTAAAGACCTTGTGAAGATGCTGCTGAAGCTGGTCAGAGAGTCATTATCCACAGTGGAACCAGTCCTGTACCGACATGGGCTGGAAGGCTGCTCAGAGAGGAAGAAGACATCACTCCAGAAGAAACATAGAAAAGACAGATTACAGTTTGTAGATGCACACAGGGACAAAGAGCTTCATTAGTGGAGACATGTCCTGTGGTCTGATGGAACTAAACCTGATCTGTTGGGCCTTAATGACCATCAGTGCATCTGGAGGAAAAAGGGGGAAGCTTGAAGCCTGAGAACACCATCCCAACTGTGAAGCACGGGGGTGGCAGCATCATGCTGTGGGGCTGTTCTGCTGCAGGAGGGACTGGTGCACTTCACACAATAGATGGCATCATGAGGAAAGAACATGATGTGGAGACATTGAAGCAGCATCTCCAGACATCAGCAGGAAGTTAAAGCTTGGACACTAATGGGTCTTCAGATGGACAATGACCCTCAGCATAGCGCCAGATTAGCTACAGAGAGGCTTCAGGACAACAGAGTCAGTGTTGTGGAGCGGCCATCACAAAGCCCTGATCTCCATCCTGGAGAACATCAGTGGAGCAAGGAGACCAACAAACCTGACTCAGTTCCACCAGTTCTGTCAGGAGGAATGGGCCAGAACTCATCAAACCAATAGTTTGATGAATTCTGTACTAAGCAAATCATTATTTTCTTTTTTAAATTACCATTCATGTGTCGAATATCTTCTAACGGATGTCTGACTAAATATTTACGGCCCCAGTGATACAGGATGAATTCATACAGGAGGACCTTTGCAACCCCTGGTGGCAGAAAACAGAAGAGTCCATTGAGTTTTATGAGACTGGAGCAGGGCAGGAGGATAGTGAGGGTAAACCCTGCTGCATCCAAACTGCCCTGTCAGAGGTGGGCAGTTAAGCGGCGCCATACATCTACCTACCATATCTATACGCAACACTTACTATAAACAAGCAGCCAACGAGCAGAGGGAATAAACGAGTCTTTGCACCGTAAAGCTAACTACTCAGTCAATAAAGGGAGAGCGGTCAGGGGGAATGAGGGTGGAGGAGGTTGAAGCAGATCTTCAGATGGCATGATCTGGAACGCACCTCCATGGTGGGTGGTCGGAGATGAACCAGACTCCGGGCAGGAGAGCCGTTTGTGGTGGAGGTTGTCGGTGTAACGGTAAGTGCCCACAGGGGCGTTTCTACACCTGAGGCGATGCTCTGTTTCCCAACATTGCACGCTTGGTAGGTGTGTCACAGCAGACCGTTACAGGGTCACATGACAGGAGCTCCACTGCCACCGGAAGCCCGTCCTGTTCAGGCATCACACCAACATGGCAGCTTTCTCTTTTATTACCAAAACAGTTCAGCAAAAAGTATTTCTGAAAACAACTGGGGCAAGAAGTCACCGATGTAGCTGCAGAATCTGTCCTCAGCTCAGTTGAAAGGTTATTTTAGAGGTTTTAAGAAGGAAGGTGTTGGACCTCCGCTGCCTGTGGAGGTTGAGGTCAAGGCTACTTTATGTTAATGAGCAGCAGCTAGCAGGCAACACGATGCACCGCGGGGCGTTTCACGTTAAACTGACGGATCCTGAGTGGTACAGAGTCTGTTTGTCGTTGTTCTCTGGTCCGGCGTTCAATCGTGATCTGAGCTCATCGATTAAGGCAGACTGGAAGCAGGTGAGCCACTCTCAGCCACAGGTGTCCTCACTCAGCTGATGATCCAACTACAGAGCTACACACACACAAAACAAACACACACCTCACTCATGCCAGGTGATAAGGAAAAGAGGGAGAGGTGCCAGCTCAGCAGTGGAGGAGGTGGAAGGCTTTCATCCTGCTTCGTCTGCCAACATCTGTTCCAGTCTAAGGAATGAAAGTCAGCGTTCTGTCTTGGATTTTTACAACAAATCTGTCACTTGTCAGTCTCCCACTTTCATAAATGTCCAGTAATAAATCACAGCAGTCTCTGATGTAAATAACCTCCACGTCTGAAGGAATGCTGTTGTTAGACTTCTAAAGCTTCTTCCTGGCCTTGGTTTCACAGGTAAGGCTAAACTTCCAATCCCTAAATGAATTCATTCTTATTAATTCATCATTTTTATTGCATAGCACCAGTCTGTTGGCCACAAGTACGATGAAGTACCTACGGCCATATTTGTTCAAAGCTGACGAGCTGACTGTAGTTTGTTAGCATCGGCTCAGTTTCCAGGCCTTCCTTTCAACATGATCTCTGGGTTTTTGATCATGTTATAGGTGGAAGGCTAAGAACAAAGTGGCAGTCACCTGTGCTGCAGAAAAAACACCATGACTCTTAAAAATAGACCTCAAAATAGTTTGCTTTTTTTCAGCATCTCTCCCTAAAAAAAGCATGAAAACACAAAAAAACACAAGTCTTTTTCTCCCCAGAAATGTACACACACACACACACACACACACACACACACACACAGATTTAACTTACAGCGACATTATAGATGGCCATGCCCACAGCTCGGTGGTCGTTGATCTTCTCCGTGGAGATGGACTTGGTCTCGTAGGCCAGGAAGATGCCGAGCAGCAGCAGCAAGCCTTTATAACCATAGACCACACCTGGAGAGGAGAGCAGCTGTGAGGAAGGATGCAGCTGTCTGGACGGCAGCTCATTTCATATTCTCAGTACTTGGTGTTCACAGTTTAGCATTTAAAAAACCCTGCAAGTAATGTTTGGTTTTCCACATCCTGTCTTTTGTGACACTTAAACTTCCACCATGAGCTGAAACCTGATCCAGGAATCAAGGAACAAAACCAAATGATTAATAAAAAAAGAGTCAGTTTGGCTTGATAGGACGACTAGAAAAGCAGAACTATTCATTGTCAACATGTATTATTGATCCATTTATTTGCTGTTTTGGTCAAACTACGTCCAGATCCAGAGCAGCCACCGTCAGTCAGTTTGATGTGCAGACTGCTGCTGCTGCTTACAGATAGATTTTGCTAAAGCATGCAGAACCACTGAGATATACAGAAACCTGACAGACACAGTGCTCTAGGATTCGGTGGGAGCTGCACTCACCCAGCCAGGTGTTCATCTTCGCTGAGCTGCAGTGCTCCAACAGAGGCTGGATCAAAACATCAAGGTCTCCTTTGGGGGCTTCTCTGGTGAACTTCTGCTCGCACACATTCAACATGAACACAAAGGTGAACAACAACAACACAACAGCAGCTTCACCAGCAAACACCTGTTCAGAAACTCACCTTTTCTCATTATGAGGTACACCTGTGAAGTCTAGGGCAATCCAACACAACATTCTAACTTTACAAAGCTACTTTGACTTTCTGTACATCACTGAGGTCAGCTGGTGCTGGAACTTCTACTACCTACATCACATTTAAGTGTTTGTAGTATTTTGCATCCTTCATGTATGTTTATGCAAATATCTAAACGTTAGAATTATGTTTAGCCTTGAAAATTAAATAAAAGCGCTGTGGGTGGAATCACTGTAGCTTATAGGGAATCCAAATGTTTTGGATTGTTGGGTGTTTCTGTCTCTGCCTTTGTGAAGCGCTATGAGATGACTTGTTGTTGAAAATATGCGCTATACAAATAAAAGTGAATTGAATTGAATTGAATCAGGATAACTTTCAGTGTGCTTTTAAGAATCAAACCTGTTATTTTATTATATCTTTTCTTGTCTTTTCTTGTCATTTCCAGAACGGTTAACGTTGGATTTTTCTGAAGAGACCTGAAACACACCACCCAGCGCCCGTCTCCTCAGAAATACAGTTTATTGAAGGAGTCCTTTTTATTGTAATTATTTACCTAAACATTAAAATGGAAACTGCTTTTAAATTTTGTAAATTCAACATTAGCAGCTACAGCTTCCACATGTCGCTCCTTCTACATGTCTTATCACTTTCCAGCTGAATTTTATGTAGACAAACCAGATAAGTTAGTAGACATAAGATCCACCTGAGGAGAGCGTGAGATGGTGACGTGTTGATGAGTCTTTACTAAGTGAACGGATGATCATACCTCTACTGTGATGTGTAAAGGATCCACAATCTGCCAGATTATGAGGGACAGGATGTCGATGCAGAGCAGGACGCCAACAGTAGCGTAGAGTTTCCACGGGTCCAGGTGCTGCTGGGAAACAGGGGGTGGTGGTCACTACGACAGCATGTTGAGGGATCAGGGAGAGGCACAAATCCTCTCTTTTTGATTTTGTGAGGGAGGGATTTATGAAGCCATAAATAGACCGGCCTAAGCTGGACGAGAAAACAATGATCCGTCACTAACTTAGGCCAATTCAATCTGCCTTCAGAGCACTGAGCGCGACAGGAATGAGACAAAGAGACAAAGAGAGCGAACAGACTGCTGCGCAATCACCAAACAAAGGTGCTTCTTTATGTATTTTGCTTTAAAGCAGGAAAGAAAAAGACTTTGGAGTCGATCGAACTCTATCAAACTGTTACTGATTTTGTTGCATTAAAGCCTTCTGGCTAAAAAAGAGAAAGGATACAGAGATATGAAGCACCTCTCCTACCAGATGATGATCGATAACGTTCATTTACAGAATCACAACTTGTTTCTGAAACTATCATCAGTACACTGCAGTCAGCCGTGACGTCCACTTATGATATATAAAAACCATCACATGGACACATTAGCACTGGGATCCACAGGAAACGGTCGCTGGCAGGACAAAGAGATGCTACACAATTCTCTGGTCCCACCGTGGGCCACATGTGGAAGCAGAGAAACTGTCAGAAGATGATACTCGACATCCTCTCTGACTGTGTTAAGTAAAGCCTCAGCCTCCAGGGTTCAGCAGAGGAGCTCAGGATAGACCTAATTGTTCACCCATAAACGGAAACATGAACCTCTAAATCCCCGTCACTTTTACCTTCCTCTTATCCTTTTTTTCATCCTTCTTGGTGAAGACTGTGTGGACCCACCAGATCTTGGTGAACATGCTGCCGTACGCGATGCTGAAGCCCAGACCGAGGAGCCACAGGCGGAACTAGTGGAGGAGAAAAGAAATGAAAGGTTCCATAATTAAACTGACTAATACATCAGGCAGATAAATCAAATCATCTCCTCAGCCATTCTCCACCATTAAACCCAGTCTGAGTTTAATAGCCTTTCAGAAATGACCTTGAAATGAAGATAGCTCTCTCCGAGGCTGCCTGTACCTCACACAGTCTTCTGGTGCACAGCAGCCAGGGTCTGCCTTTGAAATGCTGGGCAGGAGTCAGATGAGGTAACGGATAGAAGGTACGGATTCAGAGTGGAGACGGTAATGGTCTTTAAAAAGGAAAATGATCTCAGCTTTGATCTCCTTCCTCGTATGGCACTTTCATGTCTAACTGGAGGGATGATTTAGAATGATGCTCACAGAGGTAATGACACATCGACGACATTGGACTCGTTTAGAAACAGAGGTTCCTACGGGCATTTCTGCTTTGCAGGTATTCTGTGATCACAGGCGTTGTTTCATACTTCAGTGAAAGAATCTGGATTCAGTTGTATAATTTCTGTAAGACAATAAAATCCTGTAATAACAGACTGGAGAGGTGAGCTGGTAACAAAGGGGTTAGATTTCTGATTTTTTTCATTACTTCTCCCCTAAATTAGGAAAATTGGTTAAATACATTTTGACTGTTCTTCAGAGCTTCTTTTGCTCATGTAACAACAAAGCAGCAAACATCTGCTTGTTGGGTTCGTGTCCGTCTCTTCCTTCCAGCAGTGTGAGTTAGTTTCTGTGGAGCCTCCATCCTCCAGACAAGCTGCCTGTTGCTTCAGTGTCCTGCTCCTAAGGTTTGGTTTATTGTTCACTTTTTAAATAACAAACTCAATATCAACAGCAAGCAGGGATTACTGGGGCATCTAAAATCTTTCACATAACAATCAGTTCAGCCAATGGACTGTAGAGATGCATCTTAAAAGATGTATCTCTATGACAACTGAGAAAACTCCATCTGCTAAAGAATGAGATGTAATGTGTTTAAAGGCCCCAGTAGGTTTGAGATCGTCATATTAAGCTGCTTCTGGAAATCTGTGGTGGACACATGTCATCGTTTTGACATTTTATAAACAGTAAGTAACATTTGCAGTTTAATAAGAGTGAAAATATCTAATAATAATAATCAGTTGTGAACCTAAACGAATGCATGTGGAGCAGCGTGTAAAGCATACCTGGCAGACAACAGGAAATTGTCGTCTGTGGACATGAAGGCCGTCGATGCCCAGAGGGAAGACGGCAGCCAGAGCCATCATGCAGCCCACTGCAGTCATGTTGTTCAGGTAGGGCTGAGAGTTCTGGATGTACCTGAAGCAAAAGCCCAAACATCCACAGACATACGTATATGACTGTAAACAAATACAAAAAAATGACTTCTACTACAGTGAAGGTAAAGGAAGAGTTGCCTGGAAAAAAAACGTTAAACATATTCATTATTACATGAAGATATAAGATATTAAGTAAAAAGGTAACACATCCATCCATTAATCCGTTAAACCAAAACAAGTGGTCCTTAGATTGAAGGGATGTTCTATGTAGTAACTTCCTCTTTCACATCACACAGAATTATTCAGCTAATATTTATATAAAGTTTAACACTGTTCAGTGCAACGTTACCTTCACTGACATATAACAAACGTGAGCTCTTGTACCTGACGTTTCTGTTGTAGATGTTGAACGTGAGACAGACAATTCCCAGCAGGATTCCCAATCCAGCAAAGACAGAGACGGTCACGAAGAGCTTCTGGGACAGGTAGCGAAACTCTTCAATGACCACCGTCTGGTCTGCAGGAGGTCCTGGGCCTGAAACATGCAGAGAGATGTAACGTGAAGGATGAAGACACTGTGGGCAGCAGAGGAGGTAAAGAGAGGGCCAGGAAGACTGGAGTTGGATGCATCCAGAGAAACACAGAGAAATACAACCAACATTTTTTACTTCTGAGTTCATTCCATCGGTTGACCTCTACTTTGTATTACTCAGAGGCCATTTCCCAGTTTTACAAAGCAGCACTGCTGTCGTGAACTGCAAGGTGTGCTGGAGGAAATGAACAAGGTTCAGTCAAATAAAACCGTCAAACCTGAGAAATTAATGCTAATAGGCTATGATTAATGTGTAGAATTATATCAGCAGCGCAAAAGAATCGTGACAGGATAGCAACAATAACAGAAATAACTCCCCAAATGAAGACTTAACTGTGGACCTACAGAAGAAGAGTTCAAGGAAAAACTCTATTTGAAAAAGCAGATGAAAGGATAAAAACTGCCTAAGACCATCAAGTGGCTTCATAACATTCCTCTAATCAGGGTGCACTGAGCTGCTAGTGTTGAGGTGAGGATAGTACGCCATGTGCAGCTGTAGAGTGGAGCTGTTCCAGCCATCCATCCATCCATCCATCCATCCATCCATCCATCCAGGAAACCAGGAAACCAGGTAACCAGTCTATCACAGGGCTACACTTAGAGACAGACAACCAAGCACACTCACATTCACACCTACGGACAATTTACAATCACCAATTAACCTCAGCATGTTTCTGGACTGTGGGAGGAATCCGGAGAACCCGGAGAGAACCCACGCTGCACGGGGAGAACATGAAGACTACACGCAGAAAGATCCCAGGTGTCCTCACCGGGATGCCAACCGGCGACCTTCTAGCTGTGAGGCGCTAACGGTGCTAACCACTGAGACACCTACAGCCAATTCAATTCAATTTTATCTGTATAGCGTAGTTTACGACATGTCATCACACAGCGCTTAACATAGTAAAGTATAGACCTTACAGATTCAAAGTTCATAATCTAACAAAGGCCTACGTGTAAAAGGGAGACGATCCCAGGCAGCAAACAACAGCTCTACAGCCTGAGCTATGCTATGCTAAATCTGTGGGCTCTAAGGGAACCAAAGTGTACGAAACAGAGTCCTGCACGTTTTAAGGACCCCACGATATCGCCTCTGTTTTCCATGAAATGCTTCTCACCATGTTGTTTAGTGTGTGTTCAGTAAAGCAAAATGTTGTGCAGTAAAACCAGCAAACTGCGAGGAGTCAGAATCATAATTCATGTAGATAACGCACCGTGCATGTGAGTGGGTGTGAGTGTTCGCTGAAGGCAGATCCCGTGTATACCTGTGCATGTCTGTGGGCTCCAAAAAGATAGTAAGTGAGCGTCCTTTGGGGAAATATATTCTCCTACACTAATACCTCTCCCTGCCCTTGATGGTAGAATCTGGATAGTATGTTACCATGACGACTGGCTCCATAATGGTTACCATGGCAATACCAAAGAGAGAGAGGCAGCGATGCAGCAATGGTTGTCAAGGAGACTCAAAGAATGAGGAAAGAGGAGGGTGAAGAAATACTGGGAAACAAAAGTGAGACAGTGGAGAAGAAAAGAAATGAGAGAGGTTAGACACAAGCAAGCAAGTGAGAAGTTAATGAGGAGATTAGGACGGACTGTAAAGACAGAGAGAGAACAAACAAGGAAAGGTCAGAGGAAGAAGAGAATTTGGACAAGAAAACTCGTGTCATGAATTGGACTCGGAGTTGGAACCTGTCGACTTGCAGCAACAGATCAACCACAGCGTTGTGTTCACCTGGAGGAGGCCTGTTTCTGTCCTGTCACCACCCAGCGATTTCTGCTGCTGTCAGGACGGACACTAGTAACTGACTGTAAGGGCAGGAAGGAAGGAGGACATGCTGATGATGCCTCGGGGTGACTGACTGTCACAAACAGTATCACTTGACTTGTCCACTGGCCGAGAGCATCTGCTGTCACCCGAACACAGTCCAGATGGCCAAGACGACTCGGCTGAAGGAAGCAGGACCAGGCGATCAAACACAAAAACACAGGTCGACACTTCCCCAGCCCTCCCTCGGGGCTTGTCACACCAGAGCAAGAGGCCATTTTGATGACCTTGGTGTGCATTGGCTTGGTTACAAAAGCTAGTTTCTGGCAAACAGCGAGGGATGCATCAGAGCTTACAGCTTCTCAGTGACAGTAGGTGGGAGTGACGTCAAACACTACCGGGGGGACTTTACAGCTCGGCTCGTGTTTTCACAGCTGAGATGTCGACAAACCCTGGAGATGCAGCAGCTTACTTTTCAGCGGTTTAGAATAGAATAGAATAAAACTTTGTTGTCCACCAAGGTGGAGAATTGTCTTCGGCTCACCCACACAGAAGATCAGCCATACATACAGACACAGAGCAACACATAGTGTAGGCAGCCTACTGTAGAACAATAAACTGAATAAAACAGTACAACAGCAGTTCAGGTTCAGGTTATATGTGGGTCGCTCACTTCACTGAATTGAGAAGGCCGGTGGCGTTTGGGATGAAAGACTTTTTAAAGATACCTTTGGCCAGAGGAGCTCTGTAGTGCCTCCCAGACTTCAAATCTGTTTAAAGGAGGATGGGAGCTGTCCACCAAGACTCTCCGAGCTCTCGTCCTCATCCTCTCAGTCCATATTTGGGTCAGACACTTTTACCCACAATTTTACTTCCCATAATTTTACTTTGTTTGGAAGGTATATAGACAGGATTTAGAAGCATCACAGTACAGAAACAACACCTCTGAAAGTCACCAATGATCTTCTAAGAGTCTCAGACAGTGGACCAGTTTCTGTAGGTGTTCTACTGGATCTCAGTGCTGCATTTGATACAGTGGATTCCAGTTTGTTCATGCTAATGATGATTCTTCCACTCACACCAGAGTTAGTTATGGAGTTCCACAGGGCTCTGTGTTAGGACCTATATCATTTACCTTGTACATGCTCCCTTTAGGCAGTATTATCAGGAAGCACTGCAGACATTTCCACTGTTATGCAGACGACACCCAGTTATATTTATCTATGAAACCAATCAGCTGGTCAGACTCCAGCATGTCTGAAGGACATAAAGACCTGGATGACCTGGAATCTCCTTCATTTAAATCCAGACAAACTGAGGTTCTTGTATTTGGCCCTAAACACCTCAGCAACACACTCTGGAACCAGATAGCTGCTCTGGATGGCATTGCCTTGGCCTCCAGTTCTACTGTACAGAACCTTGGAGGTATTTTAGACCCTGAGGCTTGTTCTGTTGAAGGTTTGGTGTTTTTGTATTTCCTTCCCACCGTCGCCGACTGCTTGCTCACAGGCAGTCCAAAGGCAGCTTTGGATTTTTGGGTTCTCTGTTTAACATTCATAAAATCAACGTAATATTTACTCCCCAGTAATGCTTCCACCCCCTCTGCCAGTCAGTAGGGTGTCACCTTGTTTAGTTGTGGAGTAATTGCCCTACCCCCACCTACCCCCCCTTCCTTAAATCAATTCACGTAATTTTGGGGATACAGGAAATCCAATCAGCTGCACTCTGGACACATAATCGAACGCACAAGCGCACAGAACAACCAACCCAAGGTCAGTCTGCGTCCGTCACCCCCTCCCCATCGTTGCATCACTTGATTTGTTGTCCAGTTTCACAGAATTGCAGCATCCTCCACAGTCTTCAAAACAATTAACCATTGTTAGATTTGCGTCTTGTCAGCGCCCAGAGAGGCAGCAGTGATACAGAGCCTTCATGTGTACTGATTAGGAAACACAATTTCATTCCTCAAAGTCAAGGTCATGGAGCCCAATCCCATTAAACCCCCACCCTGATAGCTTTCTCCTGTTTTGTTTGGACTCTAAGCTGGCAACATCTATTTACTGCACTGCTGTCATGGCCACAAACGTGTTCTTGTTTTTAATTAGCAAATGGATTCAAATTGGGGCTGAATTGCACATTGTCCCATCACAGCACTTCTACTCAGTCCTGAATAACTCAGATACGTGGTGAGCTGTGAAAAGCAAGCGGGTGTGTTTCTGTGTCCACATGCTGAATAAAACCCGACTGGCTGATTGGGAAAAAACAGGAGATTGGAGAGTAGAAGGAGTGCAACAGACAGTGATAAAGAGACAAATAAAGGGGCTGAGGAAGATGAATGTCCCTTACCTATCCACTTGTCATTCCCATACCAGGACAGATTGCCTTTAGTGCTGTCGTAGTAGCCAATCTTCTTATAGCTTCCTCCTGGAAGACAGAGAGAGAGGAAGGGAGCGGGTAAGAGGAATGTGATGTCTCTTCCTATAATCAATGTTTCATAGGTAACACTGAATAGCCAACCACGATAGCCAAATGTGGGAAGTAGTGTGTATCATGAACAGTCTCGTAGCTAGAGCTGGCATTGAACATCTCCCCTGGATCTAAACCCTCTTGTAAGTCAGTGATAAGACATTTCCTCATGTGAAATACATTTTACATCCATCACAGCCAAACTCATGCTTCAGAACTCTGTATTTTGTGTTGAATGGAAGAAAAGAAAAGTATTCCTCAAAGTCCAATTTTAAGAAACAAAGAAATATCTTTGGTGTGTGACATTGAAATTCAGGAGCCACAATAATACTGGTATCAGGAACATCACCACAATACAGCACACAAATAAATGATTCAACACAAAGTTCTATTGACTGGATCTGAAATGGAGTGAAATCAAAAGCATTTTCTGAGATGGGTTGGGTTGCTTTCTTTCTGAGATGAGAAGATGAATATCGATGTCGTGTCTCTGTGTTGTGTACAGAGCTGGAATCAGAACAATGCTAGTCTAGCTTAGCATCGAGACTGGAATCAGGGAGAAGAGTCCACAGCACACAATACAGCAACATCTGAAAAGCTCACTAAATAGCACACTGGGTCTCATATCTCTGTTGTGTTCATTTTTCTTCTTCTTCTTCTTCTTCTTATAGTTTCGGTCTGGAACAGGTGCACAATACATTTCATCATACTGTGTATAATTGTGTTGGTGACCAATAAAGGCCTTGAATCCTTGAATCCTTGAATCCTTGAATCGTGTTTGAAGTACTGAGATGTTTCTGTGGCCAGTAAAGTGATGATGATATTTTTTATTTGTACTGTTAATTGTTGTCGTTACACTCCGGGTTCAGTGCTGCTGTGTATTCATACTTCCAGGTCAAAAGCGTTTAATCTCATCATCGGCACTGTCACAGAACACGGACACGTATACGTCTCCTGCTTTTCTAAAAGGCAAGGTTAAGTGTTGATACCGTATGATTAATGTTCAGAGACATATAATTATCTCAGGACAGTTAGCAGTCATTATGTGCTCAGAGTAGTCCTGCTAACAGATTGTCTTTGAACATATCTGTTGTTTGGCTCTCCTCCTGTCTTCCAGCACCACCTTCTCTCTTCCTCTCCTCATTTTCATCTGAACTGTCCTTTTTGTCTTTATCCTGCTGTAAACAAACAAACACACGGCCTGACGCTGTGTGTACACGACCAACCATGTGATGATATACAAACATGACAGCATTAGGTTAGATGCAGAACGTAAAAGCCTTTAAAAAGCACGAATGTATTTAGTGTATATGACAATATTTAAACCAAGGATCAAACTATCTGTGCACCTGAATATCTTACCTGATGACGAAAACATATAACAGAAGGTGTAAATGCACACAGACCACGTCGTGCTCAGAATACATCTGAACTGAAAAGACCATATTTGGAGGTGGTCTGGCTTCAAAATGTTGTTTTGAGTGACACATGTTCCTACCAGCTGGATCTTCTACATAGTTAAAGACTCTTGTGTTGTATGTGCTGCAGTGTGGGACAGAAGTGTCCTTTGGGCCAGTGATGGTCAGACATGAAGTCAAAAGTCACTTCTGGATCAACTATAGATCTCTTTAAAATAATAATAATAATAATAATAATAATAATAATAATAATAATAATAATAATAACACAGGCGTCACACAGCATCCGCAGTCTGATGTGAATAATTTTTATTCAATACAGAGGCTTTAAGAACCTACAGAAGTCAAATCTTATCACTGAACAACTCCCTACAGCTTCTTTTATACTTTCTCCTCCTTCTCCTGGGAAGCCACAACCCATTCTCTCTAAAAAGATCAGTCATCTCTCATCTGTCTGATCTAACTGTGGCAAGTTTTCAGTCACCTCATTTTTTAAAAATAGCATCAACAGTGAATTCATTGTGCACTTGGATGTTCAGCAGACATCCAGCTTTCCAGCCGAAGTCTGAATTCAACTCTCCAGCTGCATAACCTTGAACTACACATGAACCAACAAGCTCACACATGAACTTACAAACAATCTTTTTATCCCAGCTGCAGCATCCTATATGTTTTTTGTGGGTTGTGCTCACACAGGATTGTTCACTTGTACATGAATTTAATTCAACCATCACATTTCTCAGGTTTGTCATTTGTCCAGTTTAAAATCCCAAAACATCTGGATTAGCTGGAACACAAGCTTCCTCTGCTCCTTTGCCCTAATGTTCAGTGATGATCAATTCATATCCACGTCCATTTTTTCATCTTTTCTGACCAGAGACCTGTACAAGGCCTGTTTGTTTCTTCACTACCATGAAACAAACAGCAGTCCATCACTGACCCTCTCCTTGTCGGACGACGAGGCCTGAAGCAACGAAATCCGTCAAAACAAGCTTAATTTTTAATTACTCCGACAAACACAGAGCGCCTCTAATCATAACACGTTCCAGCAACGACAGAGGAACACAAATCATGGGCAGAGTGAACACAGGCTCAGTAATCAAAGCAACCAGCCTTCTAGAGCCGCGCCACCAAAGATAGGACACATCACAATCACCAGATCATCACTCAGCCACCTGCACTCCATTAAAAACTGTGATGCAAGCGCCCGACATAAAAACCAGCAGGCCTGCACCAGGGTAATGATGTGACTGTTTCCAATGGCTGCAGGTTGTTGTCGAACAGCACAGACACAATGCTGGTTAGTTTCCTGAGATAAACAAGCACCGTGGTGAACTCCCATCACCTGGTAGCTTCCTGTAAAGTCGACTGCACATGAGATTCAGCCAAGACTCCGAAAGGTAGAGAGCTTCACTATCCCTCAAGCCACGCCGCTCACCTCCTGCGTTCACAATCCCTCTCCCGTTCCTGACTGCCAGCTCAGCAGATCGTTTTGTAGCTTCTCTAATTATTGTTTGATTGACTCTAGCTGACCTGATGTTTTGTGTCCAAAGAAGTGATGGTGCTCTGCTTGTACGTCCATCCCATCAAGCAATCCACAGCGCTAAATCCAGTGTTACACATGTAGACGACATGCACTCAGTCTGCTATTCACCTGCACTGACTGGTATGTTGACAGAGGTTGCATCACATTGGGTTCATCACCTGGGCAAATGTTTGGTAGCTCGCTAGCTAATCACACTTCACAGGACGAACACCTAACCAAATAGTTTTGGTGTCTAAACTTAACCAAATAGTGAGTGGAAACCTAAATCAAAGGGTAAAGTTCCCCTACGTGACACAAGCTCCAAAAAAAACCTGTATTCTCTGTATGAATGCTAAAACATGTGTTGTACCATTAACTGTAGTACCTGATTGCACCACCTGGCGGACCCTATCACTGTTTAATACCTCCAGCGACCTCAGGGGGCAGTCATCAGGACAACGTGCAATTCAGCGTTGGCAAGTAGAGAGTAAAGTCAGAGTTTAGCTAGCTATGGGCACACAAGACTTTTATAAGGCCTCATGTCCTCTAGCCAGCGCTGATGTATTTATTCAATGCTTCCTTCCTTTTCGACACCTGTGTCAACAATGGATGTACATAAAGGCCCGACTGCTGAATGAGTCATGATCGGTCCTGGTCCCACCCAGGACATCCTGAAGGGACACATTTCTTTGAGTTTCTATTGACAAATTAATGAAAACGACAAGATAATTGCAGATTTTGCCTCATCGGCTGATTATTGAGCTGAATTCCATTTTAAAGCACAGATGTATTCTGCGGCATACCTTGAAGTTGTTCGATTAGAGTCCAGGCCATTCGAGAGCCTTGAGCGTCAAAGACAACATGACCCTGAAAGAAAAGGCCAGAACATTAACCTGTTAATACCTCCATCCTGTTCACTGTGCCACTTTTTCACTGCCTCTCTCATATCACCAACCAGCACTCAAGCCTTCCTCCCTCCGCTGGCTCTTGTACTTACCGAAACTCCTTCGAAGGAGCTGGTGTTCATGGCTCGATAGATTTCAGCAGTGATGTCTCGATTGTTGTAGTTGAAATCTTCCAGACGGTGACCTTTGGCCTTTAGGGGCCCCACGGTCTTGTTGAGGGCCAGGGCTAGAGCCCAGACAGCGTCGTAGGCCAGCGGGGCTTCCTGGAAACCACCCGTCTCTTCTGAGTTTTTACCACCAAGTTTAGACATCAGCTGGGCTAGAAACTCCTGAGAGGTCTGAAGGGGAGAGGACAGGACGGTTACACATGGATGATGTTTGATCATTTATGTAGAATATCTGAATTAGTCGGCTTTAATAGGTTGATTGGTTATAGATCAAAAGATTTACATTTAAAGTGATTTAAAATGCTGATTTAATTCACTCTCTAAGGCACCAGGTCACCAACGCGGTGCAGAGTCGTCATCAATGAGCTCCATCTTTTTCACCCTGCTCCAGCTCCCGCTCAGGGCAGAAAAGAGGGAATACTAACAGAAAGTCTAAAGGGGGCAACACTAGAACTGGTAAAACCTATACGAGACACCAATTCTGCTGCTAATCCTTGTATTTGGAAGTCCTGAAAAATGCCTTTGGAACTTCAGAATGTGAAGTTGATCCGTAGTTTCTCCCTCTGGGAGAGAATCTATCAGATTTCCTCGGACAAAGTGTCATTGTTGTTCCTCCTGCCAACCCAGCATCATCAGATTCTGTTGCCAACCTGATTAACTTCCGAGAGTCATCCATCCCAGGGGAGTGAAAGAAGCAGCTTAGACAGAAGCTGTCTCAGAGATCCAGTGTTGTCTCCCCGACTGGATGGGATGCTGGGCTAATGTAGAGCACACAGTCTGCCTGTTTGATTCTAGACCTGTCTGACACTGTTCCTGACTCGCTCAGACGGGTCAAAGACCGAATGGACTGCTGTTGGATGTGAAAACAAGAAGCTCTGATGTTCGTTTTCTTCATTGTTCTGGGAGGCGACATGGTAACAGAGAGGAGAACACAGATGTAGATGTTGGTAAAGTCAATCAGACCAACAGGTTGAAGAAAATCAAAGCCCAAAAACACAAAACGTCTCCACTCACACTGCCAAGTTTGACCCTGACGACTGAGTTTACGTGGCTCAGTTCATGGTATAGATAGACAACTACCCCTTGACTTACATGTTCACAACAGCAAAGCTTTATGCTGCAGGACACAAAAACATGTTCTGATGTCCTCTACAGACCAGGCAAGCACAACATCGCCCCTGACCTTATCTCAAGAATCGTTGTATATAATGATGACTCCATACCCCAGTCTAGTTTAAATCCCAACTGGTACCAAGTCTAAACCCCAGAACCTTCAGACAACCCATGAAGATGCATGGACCAGTCGGGAGCTTGTGTTGACTGTGATCAGACATCTCTACCTTCTCAACACAACTGAGTTAAGGCCTGAGAAATGTTGAACTGTTTTGGGACTGCTTCGGCTTGTCTAGAAGAGACGGTGAGAATTGTAATAAGCAGGTCAGTAACAATGTTAATAATCAGTTTCAGTGCCCCTGATTGCAAATTTTCCTCTAAACTCTCTTAGCAGACTAAAAGGTACAAAAAAGCTGCTTCCTCTGCAGTTGCCTGGTTTGTCTAATTTCAGCCCCCTTTGGAGGACTCATTCAGCAACCACAATGTCTTCATCATTGTTGTGCTGATCATACAGTTTCACCTGCCTGTTACACCTGACCGCACCTGTTCAACGATGAGCCCCTTTAGCCATCTTCAAATGTTAGATGCCAAGAATTTTTTGGCATTGTTTATGGACTTAGTAACGCACTTAGCCTTATAATAATGTGCACAAGGTGGTCAAAAGTCTTGGTTTCTCCCTGGACTCATCTTTGAATTTTACGAAATAAGTCTGCAGCATTGTGAAAGGCAGCTTTTGTCACTGTGGAACCATTGCCAAATTTATCTTGCGAGGACGTGTCAATAGTTAACCATGCTTTTATGGTGAGCGTGTTAACTGCTGGACTATTGTAGCTCCCTGTGCAGGGCTTAACTCTATGATAACTGGTACAAAGAACACCCAGCACAGAACTCCAGCTCTGGCTCTTTTGCACTGGTTGCCAGTAAAATATAGGGATTCATTCAAACATTTGCTCTGTATTTTTAAAGTCCTTTATGTTTTAGCTACCCAGTGCACTAATAATACATTCACTCTGCTTCCCGACATCACATCGACTCCTCTCAGTTCCCAGACACAGCAGCTGGACATGAGAAATCCTGGAGCACCACTGATGGGCCACATGATGAAACAACGCATGTCTCACCAGGTTGGAGGCTCCTCGCACCGTCTCCGGGTTCAGCATGACGATCTCAGTGGTCACATGACCCTCCACGGCCTCCGTCATCTGCTCCACAGTGCAGTTGATGGACGCGTCCTTGATCTTGAACCAGTTGTCGGCGTACCAGCCGATTAGGAACCAAACGTACTTCTTCCCGTAAAGCTTCTCCTTGTACACCTGCAGACAGACGATAAACGACGACACCAGGAAGAGAAATGTCACTCGTTATCATTGTTTTAATTGTGAATATTCTGATGTTTATTGTGCTGTTGATGCTTTTTGTAATTGAAGTGTTCTGTAAATGAATTTCTTTGGGTAAAGATGGCAGATAACATCAGATTGTTTTTCTTTCTGCTCCTTTCATTCAGGAATGTTGGTGTCATGTTTAATTGTTTTGTTTTAACTCAATGAATGGAATAAAATTAAAAGAAAAAAGAAGAAAAAACCCGTCAGAGTGCTGTGAACAGCACATTGTATTGACTGTGAGGACACCAAACTTTAGCAGTGAAGCTCAGACGCCACAAAGCTTTCATACAATGACTCGCATTCAGTACTTATGTGTGCTGTGAGTGAATGTGAAGAGGAGAAGCTGTACCTCACAGAAGACCTTCCTGGCCTCCGTCTCATAGAACAGGCCAACGATAATTCTGGCATCTTGGCGCTTTGAGGTGTAAAAGAAAAAGGACAGAGTCACACATGGGAACAAAAAGCACCAGTCAAAGGCCTGCAGAGTGGATGGGGAGCCAGCCCTCCTCCCAGCTCCTCACTACACAGCAGTGGAGTTCCTCTCCACTGGGCCACAATCATGCTGTTACCATGGTTTCTTCTGCGATGGTCAATTAATCTTCCACACCAGAACTAGGCCGACATACTGAAGAAGGTCATTGTGAGGCGTGTGTGTGCCAGAAAGAAAGAAAGTCAGGCTGACACAGGCAGAGGAAGGAAGGGAAGTGAGTACAACATAGACGCCACGTTTCTCCTCAACAATGTGCACACATTGGTGATCTTATCACAGTCATATTTACAATAAAAACTACAATGACTATCTCACGGTTGGATTAATCCGTCAACCAGTCCAGTTGCAGTTTACATCCATGTCTGTCCAGATTTATACTGTATATGTAGGGAAGACTATGACAGGGATATTCTCGTAGTTTAATCGTAGCAACTGGACCTGCTTGAGTTCCTTGAAGACGTTCCACCTCTCATCCAAGAGGCTTCATCAGCTCTGACTGACTAGTTGGGAGTTTGTTGCTCCTCTTCATGTGGAAGATGAAACCACATCCACACCTAGCCACAACAGACCCTAGCGAACCTCATGGTGTCAGGGGGAGTACTAACGACTCACATAACGAGGGGGAGGAGCAACAAACCCCCAATTGAAACCCAAACTCAGGTGTTAATGGCTCCTTCAGGATATCAGTATGTGGAACTCCCAACTACTCAGTCAGAGCTGATGAAGCCTCTTGGATGAGAGGTGGAACATATTCAAGGAACTTAAGCAGGTCCAGTTGATACGATTAATCCATGAGAACAACCTAGCGAAGTGTAAAAACTGAAGGAAATTTTAAAAATAACCATGTTACACACTGAATTTATTTCTTCATGTGAATGTGTGCTGCTTCCTGTAGTCTTGTTGTTGAGGTTGTTATCTTTAGTACCACTAAAACAGATGCCTGTACTCACTGACTGTAGCTAGAAACTGTAACCAGAGATGCCAAAAATAAGTATTCGTAGTTAAAATGTGTCACCAGTGGTCCTTTATCTATATTACCCCAAAGTGTAATAACCACTTTAGCTTCCACAATCCAGTGATGTGTTTAGAGAACCTTCAGAGAAGCTAGTGCACTTCTGAGAACCAATTAATGTCTGTTTGAGATACGTTTCCTCTCTTATTCTACAGAGCATTAGGAGCACACAGCTCAGTCAGAAATCAAAGAACAGCATTTTAAAAAGCAGAAAGGAACTTGTAGGTTTTTCAGGTGATGCAGTAGTAAAAGGCAGCCGGTGTTAACAGCGTCATAAGAAGCTCAGTGACAGGCTGAGACTCGGGCTGCTGCTAGAGCGACGACTATCATAGTCTGAGCAGCTAGAAACCAGCAGGGTGTCGGTGAATTTGTGTCGCGCTTTTCCATCTACAGCAGCAGAAACATGCAGCTGCTACGCTGCAGTGACTTTCTGGGTCGTTTGTGGTTTGAGCTTCCTGCCAGTGCAGGAGGAGAGACTTCACTGAAAATAACAACCAGAAAAACAAGAAAAACGTGTCCTAAATACATGTCAGAGACTTATCCTGTCCACATGAACTAGTCACTTATCAGGCCTGAACGGGGCAGAACTACCATAGAGCAGAGTCCCACAGCCTGCTGACAACACTGGACAGGAGAGCTGGTTTCATTCATCAGCTGATTCATTTTTATTTTGCTGTTCATTTGTTCATTGTTGAGCTATCATCAGTGAACTTCCTGAATGTTTCCCATCAGAAACCTCCTGGAGCAGGCTGAGGGATGTTGCAATGGAGTGTGTGGAAAAATCACTACAAAACAAAAGTGTTCTCAGCAGAGAGGCGAGTGTGTACGTAGCTTTAGTGATGGAATTACTGGAGAAGTGAACATTAGAACACATTCGTCATAGTGAGTAAACGTGGATGGAGAGTTACGCTTGAATTAATAGCAAATTAAAAAAAGGGATGTGATCAGATGTGTTTGACTCTCTTTTACCTCCTGAGATGAAGTAAATAAAGGATTCAGCCATTATTTAAGAATAAAATAAAAAACACAATTCAGTCAGTAACAGCTCCACGACTTCGAGGCCAACCCAACAGCCCTGGGCTTCGTGGATCAGAGACGTGGGAGAGTTTCCACGTCCTCTGTACTTTCTGGGTTATCGTTTCTAGCAATCGGGGGGCGCTCTAAGTTGGACTGTTCAGACATGGCCGGACTGATTTGTGTTCAGCTTCCTGCTGTGTGTAAGAACAGTCGGCGGTTCGGTACCTTGAGGTTCTTGACAGCCACAGCAGGGTCGGAGAGGAAACTCTGACGAACGCTGATTTCTATCCCCGCTTCCTTCACCCGCTCCTCCAGATCATCCAGCGTCTGTGAAACACACACACAGAATAATGAGGATAATGAAGATGATAAATCGACAGAGACCGCAACCAAAATAGTAGCGAGAGCGGTAATGGAATAGTAAATTGGAGAAAGAAATGTGGAGAACAGTAGACAGCGATTGAAGCAAAGCAGAGAGGGGGAAGAGGAGTTGGTGGTTTAGAAAGATAACGATGGGTGATGATTAAACAGTAGGTGACAAGAGTAAGGAAGGAAGACGCCCATTAGGTACAAGAAGACATGATAGGAGATGAGGAAGATGAAGGAAGGGAGAGGAACAGGAAAATAATTAAAGTGTCTCCCTTCATATCATCACTGTGTGATGAATCTAAGACTGTGGAAGGTGACCTCGTCTTTTCTTGTTTGTCCATATTTGTCTAATTTCTGGAAGGACAGTTGTCATTGGTTTCCTTCTGTCGAGGGAAATATCTGTTGATGAAGGTCTTATTGCTTTTCGGTTGTTCAGAACAAACCAGTTTGTTTCCCTGTCTGGTGTGATTACAGCAACACTCTGCAGCCTCCAGGTCTCAAACAACCAACATGAGAAAGAATGACTTTTGTAGATGGAATGGTGAGAGAGAAAGTGTTGACAACGTTTAGTAGGTAAATGTATGCACACACAGTCGGGAACATCAGTTTACATGTAAAGACCACGTAGATCATGGGAGTCTTGAGTTTCCAATGCCGCTAAGAATGTTTGATTAACACAACTTTCTACATCACCAGAACCAAACATTTAAGTTGTTGTATATATTTGTGACCCAGCAAATGTTGTCATATGTCCAGAAGACCTGGATGACTCTGAAATAACCAAAATGCATGAAAGTGTTTTTGTGATAAAGACGTGTGTTGTTGTAGGAGTCCTCTGAAAATCAAGACTGCATGTACACACACTTTATGAGCGCATGAACATTTTGTGGATGATTGTGTGTTTACATGGAAACTAAGGAGTAAAAAGGACAAGTCTTATTTCTCTACGTACACACATTCTACCTGACTTTTCTACTTGTCAACACTTTCATTTAAAATCGTGACTCACTGATGTGAAAACTTCTGTTGTTTGCTGGATGGTGGCGATCTTGGTCCACTTCCACTTCTGGAAGAGCTGCACTCGGGTCGGGTTGTGCAGCGTGGCAGATGGGTGAGTCCGGAAGAAGGTGGGGAAGCGCTGGCGGTTGGACAGAGCTGGAGAGCTGGAGCCATACGACAGCTGGGACACAGGGAGATGGATACAACCACGTTACAGCTACAGTCATCCTCATGACTTAAACTCAGACTAAATGAGAGCAGAAACCCAAAAAGAAACGTGTTAAAGCAAGTGAAAGCTTGACTTGTAAAAATACTACAAGTCCTTGAAAAACATCCATCCATCCATCATCTCTACACCTTAATCCTCACTAGGGTCATGGGGGGCGGAGCCTATCCCAGCTGACAGGCAGGTTCACCTGGACAGGTAACCAGTCTATCACAGGGCTATAAAGAGAGACAAACAGTTGCTCAGCTCATTTACTGCATATACATTAGCAAACAGATCTAATGCTAATTTATGTGAGGATTCCTGTAAAATGGAGGTTATACCACTGAAAGCTGCCTAAACGTTGAACTTGGTTACCGTCCATTGTTGCGCTCACCTGCTCTCGTGGCTTTTCAGGAGACGTACTGTTCGTCTCAAATCAAGCTATTATCTTTTGGCTTTGACATGGACTAAACTGGCCTCTCAACAGTCATGATTGTGGCACACTGGAGTTCACATTTGATGTAGAATTTCATTCATTTATTAAACTAAGGGCAAAATAACTAGATATATACTCAATGGGGCAGGACCAGGGCTCCAGGGCTGATTGTTGTCCCTGTGCCCCCAGTTCCAAGTTACTGAAGGGATGTCTTTTTTGATCCCTGCTTCCGCTTTTAGCCATGATGTCAATACATTAGCAGGTAGTATTACAAACAACATCACAGTATGACACATTGATACGTATGTGGATCATATAAGCTACAGGATATTATAGCCTCCTTCTAGAAGGTAAAAACACTGCTGACCTCAGGAAGACGAGGTGTGTCAGAAAAGTTCCAGGACTGGTGTCACAAAAGATATACTTCAAACCCAAAATCCAAACCAGGAGTTTCCCCTTCAGACGATCAACCAGCACCTCTACAAAGAGATCCTACAGCGTTTGCTTCGTCCAGAAGAGGCAGAGTTGTTTCAGGACCAGTGGAGACTGCTTCACCATGACAACCTGCTCACAGCACCCTCAGCATCCCACAGCTCCTGGCTGAGAAGAACATCTCCGTGCTGGAGCAACCTCCCTACTCACCCCACCTGGCTCCCTGGGGTTGGTTCCTCTTCCCCAAGCTCAAGGGCTCATCCAGGGGACCCGTTTAGAAGACGTGGATGACATCAAGATGGCTGTGACGACGGAGCTGAGATGATCCAGAAGAATCCTTCCAGGAGTGCATGGCGGCCTGAAGAGAAGGCTGGAGGAGGTGGGTTAGACTCCAGGAGGATTACTGGGAAGGAGAACACTGGTAGTTTGTAGTTTAGATTTGAAATATATCTTTTGTGACACCAGTCCTGGAACTTTTCTGACACACCCAGAACATATCATGTTTTGGTGAAAAACAGTAAATGTAAACATCTTTATATGTACACATAAAAGAATAACTGACAATATTATAACAACTGATGATGGCCTGTGTGCTGGAGGGGAGTTGTGGCGGTCCACTTGTGTATTAGTCTCATGTAGTGAAGTGAAATGTAAAGTCATCTGGAAGCGGTTCAATGAATCAGAATCATGACTGCAGCCAACTTCTCAACTTCTCTGGCAGGCTGACTCGCTCTCACTGTGACACCCCTTCAGGTCATTTTTTTTCAAGTGTACATTTTGGCTCTGTGTCTTCGGTGTTAATGAGTGTCTTCTGTGATATTTTCAGATTTTCTTGCAACCTTTGGTGCAAGTGTTCTCCGTAGTGTTTTCACACTAACCCCAAGAGATCATGTGTCACCTAAATATTGAATATTGTCTCGGACACTCGGGCAAAGAGAGGAGCAGAATCGTCAAATGATCACCTCCTCGTGGGGAGTTGGATCCGATGGCGGGGAAGGCTGCCGGACAGACCCGGTTAGACCCAAACGTGTAGTAAGGGTGAACTGGGAACATTTGGCAGAGGCCCCTGTCTGTGGGGTTTTCAACTCCCACCTCCTGAAGAGTTCCCAGAGGAGGAATCTGAGTGGTCCATGTTCAGCCAGTCCACATGTGATTTGTGGATTTGGAAAAGGTGCATGGCTGACCCCCAAGGGGCTCTATGGGGTATACTGAGGGAGTATGGGGTACCGGGCACTTTGATACGAGCCATTCAGTCCCTGTTCAACCAAAGTGAGAGCTGCAGCACAAAGTCAGACAGGTGAGTGTTGGACTCCACCAGCACCGAATCTGTTTGTGGTGTTCATGGACAGGATCTCAAGGCACAGCCGGGGTGAGGAGGGCGTCTGGTTTGGGGACCTCAGCGTCATTGGACAGTGACCTTCAGCATGAACTGGAGGTCATTGGACAGTGACCTTCAGCATGCACTGGAAAGGTTTGCAGCCGAGTGTGAAGCAGCTGAGATGCAAGTCTGCACCTTCAAGTTCGAGGTTTTCACCAGAGAACCATGGAATCTACAGTTTGTCTGCCCTTAACCCCAAGAACACGATAAATACTGTCAAGCATGATGGTGCTCCTCATGCTCCTGGGCTGTTTTGGTGCCAATGGAACTGGTGCTTTACACAAATGAAATAAAATCAAATAAAAATAATAACAATAATAATAATGAAGAAGGAGGATTGCCTTTACATTCGGTTGGGTTGTTGATCCAGTTGGATGTTCCAACAAGACGATGGCCTCAAACACACATCAAAGGTAGTACAAACATGGCTGGTTTCAGACTGGTCTCCCCAACATCTGACTCATATAACGCCTAAAACATGACAGCTGTATGTTGAGATCCACACACAGAGGTGGAGGTTCTTACCACGATGAGGTTCCACATGCGAGCGGCTTCGGCCACCAGCGTGGACACGGAGCTGCAGCCCGGCATCAGCACAATCTTGATAGGCTCTGTGTACAAAAGGTCGTACAGCAGTTTGGTAGCCTCACCGGGATCACACTGTGGACACACAAACACCGACAGCATCAGTCAAGGATGTTCCAGGCATTACGGTATACAGCCTGTGAGCACCATGTCTGCAGTGTAGGGTATTCTCAAGCAGACTAATGGACGTCTATGGAGAATTATTACCCAATCCAATCCAATTCTGCATTCAGCCTGCGAGACAGTCAAGTAAGATTGTGGTAAAAATACTGTACATGAAGTTCATCTTGATCAGTGAATAGTCACCTTAGATCAACACAGGTTAAAATATCACTGTATATGTCTGTTCAAGAAACCATTTAAATTATTCTTGATCATCTAAGGAGAAGATTAGCTCTGCTGCAGTTTTCCAACAAGAGCCCTTCAGTGATCCTGAGGACTGAAATCAGGTGTGATCAATGGATCAGACTCTCGTTGTTTAATTTTCCATAATTACCCTCTAATCTTCAGGAAATAAAATCTTGTGAATAACAAGAAACATGATTTATTTTCCAGAGATAACAAAATAATTAATCATGAGCGTGACAAAATGGCATTAAAAACATAATCGCAGATAGGTCCAATTAGACTGAACTGCTCACAAATTAATTTCTGTTCGAAGGATAAAGAAAAATAACAAGCAGCATGTTCACATTTTTCAACAGTTAAAGAAATATAGATATTTTTAACCTTCATTTACCCAGAAAAAAGCTAATTGCTAATTCTAAAGCAACAAGAGACAGTTATCCAAGTGGGATGTAATCGTACATTAATAATGAACGTTTAAAATCATTTGTCATTTGATTCGTTCTAATGGTACCTGGAGGACACCCACACATACACGAGGACAACATGCGGTCTCGTAATGTGACCCAACCCCTACACCGAGCAGACACCAGACAGGTGATGGCGCTACCAATGCACCACCTCGTTGTTGTGTCCAGCTGTTACCCCGAGGCCCCGCTCTGTTTATTTCCTGTTTTATTTTGGAATTTTCTGTTGTCTCGTCTTGTTGCAGGTGTTTTTACATTCTCCAGTCTTTGTCCTCTTTCCCGCCTGTGTGATCACCTGCTGCACCCTTTTTCTTATATTCTGTTCGTCTGGTGCCCTTATCCCAGCCTTCTCCCATCAGTGATCTTCCCTGGGTTGTGTTTGTGTCTGAGACCCAGCCAGGTTTGACCACTGAGCTTGTTCTGGTAATCTGGATACCTCTGCCTGATCACGTTGTATGATAAACCTGTCGGACTGTTCACGAGTCCTGAGAGTTGTTCATTTGAGTCCAGACCGGTTTGTACATCGTGAGCTCGTTGCCCTAAAGTGCAAAAAGCAAACCTGGAAGACAGGAAACTATTCTAGCTCATATGGCTGGTGTCCTGTTGCACAGCTTTGGTCTCGCTTTACAGCCATCATACTGTGAACAGCTTATCTGTAGTTACAGCATTGTTTTAATTGCAATGATGATATAAGTACTTGTTGGATGAAAACTGACATATGGTGAGAGTTTCTTCAGTCTTTGTGGTGCCTTAGAATTTAAATATTGACTGTGGGGACAAAGTCAGTCTTCTAATTGTTGACATCAGAGACCTGCAGACATTCTGTTAGAATCTCCAAAAACGAACTGCTTGGTTTTTCGGAAAGCCAAACACGGTGACACCTTCCTGTTGTCTGGTGCAGGTGTTGTTCTGTCTGAAACACATCATAGACGAATGCTGATAGAAACTGAACACAAACAGGAAAACATAGAATACACAGCTCACTGTGGGTGGTCAGGAACATTATGTATAGGTGAATAGCGTTCCCTTCTACGACAGGCTGGTCCTGAGTATAACTGTACCCGGAGCTGAGGTACGCAGCCGCCGGGCCGAGGCGCGGCACGTTCCAAGGTCACATCAACCGGAGCCCTGACAGGCTCGTCTGGAGGACAGCGTTTATCTGCGTAGTGCTGGGGAAAACATTTACCTCCAGCCAAGCCTCATTATCGTGATCCACATGTTACAGATGGCTCTGCTCTCTGCATCTACAGCCTGCAGCCAACGAACGATCAATAAGGCGTTTAAATGATAATGATGCAGGTGTGGTTATCGTTATTTATTAACAGAGCTAAAGGGAGTCACGGCTGAACAACTGAAATTTGATTTTGTTGTTGTCATCATCATTTCTCCTCATAGGTCATTTACAGAAAACTGTAAAATATGATTTGTAATTTTGGACAAGAAGCACGACAGTCAAATCTAGCATGACCCACATCAATAAGGAATACAGCAGGAAGAACTGGAGTTTCCTTTTATAGCTCTATGAGGAAAACCAGACAGGTGTGTCCTGTGCACGAGGCAGGTACACGACAGAGAAGGTGTAAACCTCCGCTGACCACCACACATCCATTTGTTTTCCCTGAACTATTCTGAGCACTGAGTAAACCTCAGCAATGACAATATTCCTCAGATCTTTTTCTTGGATGTACTTGTGGTGATTTAGTTGTTAGCACTGCCGTTATATCCTGTAGTTGCTCCACATGGTGCCTCCGCATTAAAAGGTATTTACTGTAAAAACAACAACAACAACAACAACAAAAACATTCTGCAAGTATCAACAGCAAAACGTTTTTCAGTTTATCGAAGCAACTGAGAAGTGAAATAGAGAGTGAAATACTGATGAGAACAAAGCCAGTGGCTCCTGCTTCTGAAATGCTCAGAGACTGAAGGCTCAGACTCACAAATACACAAAGAGTGGCTTCATCCTCTTTATAAAAACTGTATCATCATAGTTTGTTCACAGAAAAAGATGTGTGTGTTCCACATTGTACATTAACATCCAATCTACTGGAGCGCTCACCTGGTGGAGCTGGTGTCCCATGTACAGGGCCTGTAGTCTTTCCCCCATTCTTATCCCCCCACTTTCCTGTCTCTCTCTCTGTCCTATCTAATAATGCCAAAAAAGGCCAAAAAAATATATTTAAAAACAAAACATCCAGTCTGCTGAACGGTGAGGAAGGACTTCCACCTGTAGGACAAACCAGGGTCACCTCACAGAAACAGATCCAGCTGGGGATCCACCTCTTTTCTTTCAGAGTTTCAATCATTATTAAATTAACAGCAAAGTTTTAAAAAAAAAAATTTCACAGGGGAGGAAGAGAAAAAAAAAACCTTCAATTCACAGTAATGAAAACCTTAAAATAATAAGGCCCCTGAGGTTTTACTAAAGAATGTCTTCATATAAGTGTAAAATCAATCACAAGAGAAGTTTGTGATCCAATAATGAAGCACTGAATTAGTCTTTTCATTACATTATATCAACGTTTACAGAAGAAAGAGCTGAATGGCTGCTAAACACTTTCGCGTCCTGAACAGCTGTCAGAGAGTCACGATGAAGGCCACAAGCTAAAAACCGTGAACATTTAAAAGGGGCTCGCCTTCATTTCCTGTTTCTTTGTTTGCCAACATCAATAGCTGAAAGGACGAAGCTGTTCCCTAGCAACCAACTCTTGAAACAGTCCTCATCCTGTCTGGGAGGGTGAAATCCATCCTGTGCTGCTAAAGAAGACAGCTGAGGCATGTGCTGGATTTCCTCTCTTCACCTCATCACACTGAGTCAACAAGCACGGAGACAAGTCGTCCAGATCAGCTTTACCCTCCTCAGTCCTCCACCAGACACAGTCGTGATCCGACACTAAATGTAAAACCTTCTTTTATGTCGGATAGCAAGGCTGTCGGATTGTCAAGACGGAGGTCCAGATACAACGAGGGCTTGATGCTGGAAGGCTCATTAGTTGTTAATTATTGTTCATAGTTGTTATAATAACTGGTAGGGCTGGTCCCAATAGAACTTTCTGCTCTCTGGATATTCAGGCCCAATTAATGATGAATATCAGAACATTTGGTGCGGTCGGCGGACACTTCCAACCCGGGGCAGTGCTCTGACGGGGTGGAAGTGTCCAGAACACACAGGTAGTACTTGGATGCTGATGCTAGTTTAGTTAGCGCTCACACTTCTGTTTCCTCCATCGGTGGCGGCGGGGGAGTGGCAGATACGCTCCACCGTTATCCTGATTGGTGACATAAAATGTCATGTCGGAGTCAGAATCCAAGGCTGTCGCTATGTTAAGGCTGTTTTTATGGATTCTGTTGGTTTTTATAAAAACCTGTTGGATAGCAAGGTTTAGGATTGTTAAGGGTCGGATTATCGAGTCACGACTGCAGATAGTTGTTTTTCAGCGGGCCCACAGTAATCTGGAGCTATGTTCCTCACAGTTGACCTTCTGATTAAACCTGGTGCTCATGGGAAATCACCAGCACATTCAAATCAGCCTTCATCTTTTAGCGCTGCAGCATCTGAACTGATATTTAATCATCTATTTGCTGGATTTGGGAAAAAAATGCTGAGAAATTTCACAGTCCATTGACCACCTGATGACGCAGGCGGTTTTCTGGCCTCTTGGGCATCTCTTTGTGTGGAGCTGGACCGTGATCAGCTGGAGACCCATCAGAGCATGCTCAGTGTGATGTGCAGCTGGCCTGGCAGAGCACAGAAGTAGTTTGGAGGTATCTGATCAGCGATCGCTCCGGCCAGCACTTCTTACGTTTGGCTAACTCTGCTCAATATGTTTCTCTCACATCGTCCTCCCATCCGTCTGCTCCCGTCTGTGCAGTAACGAAGGTGCGTGATCTTGCCTCTTTCTTGGAGTCAAATCTGTATTTGTTTGAACTGCAGTTGTCGTGGTAACTGTTGTCATGCCAACCTCTACACCCCCTGACCCCCTACCCCCACCCCCCACCGCTGGCTTTTGAAGTAGAGATCCAATGCAGAACAGCTTGAACCAATCAGAGCGGCCTCTTTCTAAAAACACCGACCAATCAGTGCTGCGTTTAACTGTTTGTATACCCAGCGTGTGTGTGTGTGTGTGTGTGTGTGTGTGTGTGTGTGTGTGTGTGTGCGTGTGCGTGCGTGCGTGCGTGCGTGCGTGCGTGTGTGTGTGTGTGTGTGTGGAGAGACTCAGGTGAGAAGAGGCAGTGTGACGGAAAGAGACTAAAATTATAATCTGCCAGTGGAGGACTTCAAATCGGAAACCTGGTCTCTCTCTAAAAAGGGAACGACTGCACACAGAGACGCTGAGGATGAAAGCTTCAGCGCAGAGACAGAAACCTAAAAATGGTGTTTTCGTGCTATTAATAAAGCTTAAACATCTATTTTACAAATTGAAGGTGAGGAGGGGTGAGGACTGACCAGTCAGCCTGAATAAAACCTTCCTGTAATCCCTGATGTTTGTTACTGTTTCTAACCGTTTGCTGCTATTGGAAGAAGTGCAGCATGTAATCAGCCCTGATGCTGCATTCTGTCAAATGCTGCCTGAAAAATTCACCTGACTTTAAAGTATCTACATCAGAACTGCAAACATTCCTCCAGAGGCAGCTGATGTTAACGTGAACTTCAGTCGGAGCACATACAGCCTATAGATGCTCCCTGTTGGTGAGGTCTACCAGCTGCTCCCCTTCACAACGCTATCGGTTTGTTCCACAGTATGCTGCCATGTCTCATGTCGCTTCTGTGGAAGCTCATGAAATTAAAGAAATTAAAGCTAACAAATGATACCTGGATCGAAACCCACTTCAGCTGTGTTCTGCTTTGATGGTCCTCTGAGCTGGAGGCCCACTGCTAATGAGAGGACCACAGAGTCAGATGTTCTCAATGTATAGGCAGCTGTGAGCTTATAAATGACAGTGATTTGTTGATGCCGGTCCACCATAACATCACTGGTGATTAAATGAATAAAATCCTGTCGTCATCGTAGAGCTGATCTGGTGGATTCACTCGGCTCCTCCTTGGGTTTCTCTGGTCCGTCTGTGAGCAGATCCTCCTTTCTGAGCAAACTCTGAATCAAAACATGTGCGGGTGGAAGGACTGTTGTTGGCTTCACTCCGCAGAAAAGACATCTGGCTGAGCTCCAGAACAGAATCAATCTGGAGTTCACAGAAGGTGAGCACCATGAAGCCCTCAACACAAACACCTCCAGAACAGATGCATTCAAGGTAACTCAGAGAAGTCAGGCTGTATTCTGAACACAACACTGTCCACCTCAGGTACCCAGACCTTCAAATGAGTCAACAAGCGTGTATGGAGCCTAGCTAGCAAGCATAGAGCTGGGTGGTGGAGCTTCACAGGCTGTAGCTACGTAGCTGCTCGTCAACACCAGCAGCTCCTTCAATGTCTTTAACTTGAATGTTTGCACCTTCAGTCCAGGTGAATTAGTTCTTTAATGGAGCTAAACATAGAGCAGTCAGCTCCAACAGTAAACCTAGCTGCTTAACACTGTCTACACTCCCTTTATTCGCTCTGAGCTGTGGGACATGGACACAGGGCCTCTAGGGGGCTCCTGTGGACACCACAGCGATGGCAGCGTATTATGTATTGGGTCCTGTGACTGCCGGGGTTGGGCCTCTGGATCAGATTTGGATCTGGGAGCTTGGTGGATGGGTGTTGGCTGTGTGGGGTGTGTCGCCCTACTGGGGAGGCTGCTGCTGTCGGGAGGAGCTTCGTCTGGAACAGTGTTCAGGTTGGTGGTCCGTGTCAAATGACATCCAGGACCCAAGTTTCCCAGCAGGACACTTCATAGTAACGAGATGATTAATGCTGTTCACGTCACCTGTCAGTGGTTCTAATGGTGCTGCTGAGTGATGTATTGTTCACTGCTGGTTTTACAGCGGGGCACTAAATGTCGCTTATATGCTCGCTGTTTGCATGGTTTCAGAAAGCAGCCGCACTCTGTTGTTCAGAGGGTCAGTCTGAGACACACGAGGCTCATCGGTAGCGTTCCATCCTCCATCGGCTAAAAGGCTTCGACCCCCGATTCGACTCCCAGCTGAACAGACCTTCGCTGCAGGTCGGCGCCGGCTCTCTTTCCCCTCACCTCCTGTTTAACTCCACTCTGCTGTTTACTGAAGGCAAGAAAACAGCCTTAAGTGTCTCACTGCTATACTTTTCTGGACTTTCTGCGCTGCTTCAGCATGAGCCAATCACAACATTTTCATCTCTGCTTTACTGCACACACAAGATCTAAAGTACCGCGCTGCTTTCATACCGTCGGACTCGGGGTTTAGTGAAAGCTGACAGAAATAGACGACTGGGAAAGTTTCTGAGATGAGAGCCATTAGGACAGAACGTGGTGCTGTTCCAACATGTTGTCCCGACGCTGTTATGTTACACCATGCTGTGGTCGGCAGAACATTTCTCTGGGGCTGTGGCCCATTTTATGGCCTGGATGCTACGTTTTAAAATGCACAGCACACAGGAGACAGACGCCTTCTGGTAGCACAACTTGATGCTGGAAGTGAAGATGTATATATTAGGAGTTGCAATCACCTCTCAGATGAATGTGACGTTTACAGAAGAAGCCAGGTCAACTTTTTCTGCAGCTTTGTGGCCAATAACTGTTGTCCCTGAATCCCAAACCATGTATAGATCAGCAAGTCATCAATAACATGATGGAATAAAAACATTTACAGTGTCAGATTGGGAAAAGCAATGCACATATAAATGTATAATCCTTCTTTAAATTGATCAATATCAGTCGAATTATACTCATCAGGTCGTGTAAATAAATCAAATGGTCCAGTCAACCAACCAGTAAACCACCTGGAGGCTTGTTCTTACTCCTGCACTGTAGCTGATCTATAAACTATTAGTTTCTGCTAACTACTCACTCATTAATGTGTCTGATTGAACCCAGTTTGATCGTTAAATCACTGATCGGTGAGCAGTAATAATCAGTGTATCATGCACTGTTAGTTCAAGCACACATGCCTTCACTGTGCAGCAGACAGTGCCTCTGAACACAGGGATGCTGGAGGCAGCTCGGTGTCGCATTGCCTGCAGCAAACCTGGTTCTGGTTCTTTGTGCTACAGCACGTGCAGTGTCATGTGACAGATACACTAATTGTCATCATCATAAGAAGACACAAGTCAGTCTGCACTGCGTATGTCAGCCGTTCACTCACCATACTGTCGTAGTGGATCAGCTCCAGCTCGTAGTCGGGCAGGATGTCGGTCCTCTTGTTCACCAGGTCCAGGGCCATTTGAGCGGAGGGCAGGCAGGCTTGTCCCCCGGGCCAACCTCCGCTCATCGGAAACAGGGCCCCGATGTAGAGCTTCTTCTTGCCTAGAGCCGGGCAGGAGCAGGAGAGGAGGAGAGTGAGGGTGAGGGTCAGAGAGCAGCGGGGGACGGATCTGAGAGGGAGGATTTGGCCGAGACGAGCCATCGCTGCTGCGGGCTGGACGGGTCGGCGGAGCTCCAGAGCTGCTGGAGGGAGTCAGCAGGAGGCAGCTCCCATGAGCAGGAGCTCACCTCTCACACAGCAGCTTACTGTAAACACACGGAAATAATGTGGGTGCAAATCTATCATTGAACAGACACGTTGCAGCAGATGCAGCTCCTCTGCTCTATGGCTGCAGGAGAACTTCAGAAGCCCTCAACATCTAAAACAGAGAAGAAGCCATCCTCATGCAGCTCGTTGAACGGCTTCAGTCCGGGACGAGCCTCCGGTCCAGTCCAGGTCCTGCAGGTCCTGCAGCTCTCTGCGCTGTCCGAGGTGCTGAAACTAAACCGGCTCCGTCATGTCCATCCTCCTGCAGCCCGCTTACAGAGAACACACCGAACAACGTCCCGGTCCCTCCGTATAAAGATGAATAAAGCAGAACCACTGAGCTTTCTTCTCCGGGTCTTCCCTACATGCTCACAGCTCCTCCGTCCGAAGCCGAACACGACGACACCGAATTCACAACAACACGTCTGTTTCCGAACATCCACCGGAGGCTGACGGAGAGGACGGCGAGCCGGGCTCGGTGCTGCTGGACCGCGCAGCCGCTCCGGAGGACGAATGACGGATCCGAGCGGAGCCAGTCCGTGCTGCAGCAGCGGGAGGGAGAGAGAGGGGGAGAGGGGGAGGAGGAGGGACCAGCACCGCTCCTCTCCTCCGACCGACTCCACACCTCCGGCACCGGCGCTAATGACGCTTCATCTGGCGGTTCTTACTGCGCCATTCCTCCTCAATCACAGACTCAATAACAATCCAGCCTTCTATATATACATAGACATACTCTCATTATTAGTTTCGTTATTTATTTAGTTCCCTTTCTTCACTGTTTGGCTGTTTCTATCCCTCTCTCTCTCTCTACACACACATATATATATATGTACTTCTTGTGTATTTTATTCCTTATTCTTATTTATCTTATTATTTGTGCACAACGCATCTCACTGCCCGTTACACCATGTATAACTGTGTTTGTGACCAATAAAAGACCTTGACTCTTGAACCTTCAGTTACAACTACAACTAGTCTGGAGCAACTGTACTGGACAGCGTGGAAAAGCCTCATTCAGACCACAAAGGGAGGCCACATTTGTCCCCTGACACTCATCCTACCATTTAATTCAACAAACCAGGTACCAAAGCCACATGGACACTTTCAGGCCCCAGGTGGGCCCCACTGGTCCCCCAACTCCCACCGCTGTCCCTGCATCCTTCTTGTACATCAGATAAGAGAGAACTGGTCACTCTGAGCAGTAACACCAACACCATGTACACCAGTTTCATATTGTCTGTCAGGTGATTTCATCATTTTAAATGGAAACCAAAACTAAAAAAGGTGCCTTTCCAACACAAGCAAGGAGTAGCAGCAGCTCTAGTTGAGTCTACAGAGCTGAGGAGCATCATACCATCACCTACACTTCAATCTGATTCATGTCTGTAACATACATCATCAGCGACTACAATCTTTAGGAAAGATGCTCTTTTCTTTGTATGTTGGCCACTGATGGCAGTCCTGGGTCTGGACTCAGCTGGTGTCTCAACCAGACAGTGACCCAAACACACATCACAAGTGTAAAGACACGGTTAAATGAGGCTGGAGTTGAGGTTCTAGACTGGTCTCCACAAATTCTGACCTAAAGTCCATCAAGAATCTGTGAGGGCTGCAGGTGTCTCGGTGGTTAGCACCGTTAGCGCCTCACAGCTAGAAGGTCGCCGGTCCGCGTCCCGGTGAGGACACCCGGGATCTTTCTGTGTGGAGTCTCCATGTTCTCCCCGTGCAGCGTGGGCTCTCTCCGGGTTCTCCGGCTTCCTCCCACAGTCCAGAAACATGCTGAGGTTAATTGGTGGTTCTAAATTGTCCGTAGGTGTGAATGTGAGTGTGCTTGGTTGTCTGTCTCTAAGTGTAGCCCTGTGATAGACTGGTTACCTGTCCAGGTGAACCTGCCTTCACCCTGAGTCAGCTGGGATAGACTCCGCCCCCCATGACCCTAGTGAGGATTAAGGTGTAGAGATGATGGATGGATGGAAACTCATGACTGCCATGATATACAATATACTCGTACATGGTCCACAAGCACTTGTCAACGTTGGTTCACATCTCTATGTATGTATTCTGTGTGTATTCTGTGTGTATTCTGTGTGTATTCTGTGTGTGTTCTCATCCACTTATGCTCATGTTTCCATTCATGTGTTTCTGTGGCACATCTCAGCTGTTTTTCCAGAACATAAATAAATCCACCATCTGAGCTCCTTCATTGTCATCTCCTGTATAATGTGGAATCATTTCAAAGATCTCGTTGAGCAGTAATGAATCATGCACAGCCCCTCCCCCACAAACTCCTACATTTACATGATTATTACGATCTCTCCCTGAGACGAGCACTGCTTTCATTTTGTCCCTGTGTGTGTGTGTTTAATAATGCATCAGCACAGTAATGGGATGACACTGATGCTTTTCTTCTGATTCTCATGATTGGCTTCGTTCTTTCTTCTCGGCCACAGAGCCGCGACTATTTATTCATACAGTCTGGCGCTGCAGCCTGATGTCTATCTGTCTCTGGTCCATCCCATTTCTTTTTCCAGCCACAGCTCTCTACCTGACTGGCTCTCATTTTCCTGGGTGGGTTCATATCTCTATGTGCCTTTTTCTTTCTGTTTTTGCCACTGCTCTGGGATCATCCATGCTAGAAGAGATGCATGTATCTGTGCCTCCCACATTCCTCAGCTCCAGCTCGTTTCTACCAACAAACTGTGCTGTCGTTGACTGTGGCTTCAGAGCAGACAGCTTGTCAAACCAGTTTCCATGGACATGGAAGTGAGGATACACAGCACTATTACGCCTCCTGCATCATTTAGAATTTTTCCTGTTGATGATTCAGAATAATTTTAATAATTTAATCATTTTAATAATGGATTGTCTGACCTAAAGAACAGGTTGGTTCTGTGGGTTAGTTCTGCAATATTAAATACTCTTGGTGAAGTAGCTAAAAGCTTGTGTTCAGTGGAGACAATTAAAGATCTTAGGATAGTTTGCATCTCTGATCTGACTCATGCATGATGCATAATTCAAGGACATTTATCTGTCGACCTGTTCTTGGCAGCATAACACAGAGCTGCTAAGGATGTAAGGATGTTCATTTACAACTGTGAACAAAAGTGTGATCAACAAAAATTTTGCTATTTGGCTACAATGACCAGAGAGAGGAGGAAAGAAGGCCTTTAACCCCAAGAACATCATACCTACTATCAGGCATGGTGGTGGCAGCATCATGCTCTGGGGCTGTTCTGCTGCCAGTGGACCTGCAGCTTTACACAAAGTCAGTGGAACAATGAAGGAGGAGGATCACCTCCACATTCTTTAAAAAAAAAAGAAAAAACTAAAATCATCAGAGACAAGGTTGGGTCTTGAACACAGCTGAATGCTCCAACAAGATAACAACCCCAACCACACATCTAAAGTGGTGAACAAATGGCTGAACCAGGCTGGAGCGAAGGTTTTAGACTGGCCTTCCTAAAGTCCTGACTGAAACCCCAGCCACAGCTAACAAATCAAGAGCAGTGGTCACAGACACAACCAGAAGCTTGTAGACGGCTCGTAAATGCACCTTGTTGAGGTGAAAATGGCCACGAGATGTTTACCAGATGTTAGCATTGGTGTATGTATGTAGTTCCTCATTTTATTTTAAGCAGAAAAAATCCAAGTCAACGCGCAGAATAACGCACAAGAACGGACGTGTTTTAATATTCTGCCAAAACCACAATCTCAACCCAAACTGTCCAAATGCAAAGTGATTTAGGAGGACATGAATCTCTGAGTTTTCACGTCCTGGCCTTCATGGTCTCCCTGAAAGCTGCATGCAGTGCAACAACAGAGTTCATTTCGGTTTTCATTTATTTTCAATCATATCCTACTGGCAGCAATCATAAACCAAACAGCAGTAATGTGTCCTTTAAAATACATGAGGCAAAACAAACTACAAACATAAATCTAATTTCTATGAGAAAGATTTAGAAGATTGTGTACAAATATTATTTTACCAACTTTCTGATTGACATTACAACAAAGTCACCAACAGGTCCTGAAGCCTCCTGACTTTGGCCAGTTGGTGATCCAGCAGTGTTTACATTGGAACCAACATGTCCAGCCAGTGGGTGAATCTGACTCTCCAGTCTGTATGATAGCCTGAACCTCCTCATTAGTGCTGCTGCTCCACAGATGAACTCGAATGACATCGTGTTAGCAGTAAATAAAAGTGTGAGGTTTGTTTAAACAGAACAACCGATCAAACAGAGCTGCTGGTTCATCTCGTCTCTCTCACTTGTTCCTTTCTTTCTTTGCTTTTCCCCTTTTAGTCTTTTCTTTGCTGTGACTATTTTCTCTCTCTCCTCTGTCTAACAAATCTTTTCATTTCTATATTTGCCCAGGCACTGAAGCCGTGCAGCATCGTCTCCAAACAGAACCACATGTGACATGCTGCCATTTCTAACAGTGCTGCTGTGGTCCAGAACCTGCACGTACAGCTGCATTCTGATCCATGCACTGTCACAGAACCAGCGTGGCAGAACTCAGGACAGCAAGTTAAGACTGGTTTCAGTTCAGTTTGTGTCAGGTACCCGTTCTGCCTTGTTAATACCCTCGCCTCTTGCTGAATAGACAATGAACAATGTACACGTCGCTCTAAATGTGAATCACAGGACAAAGGACTTTCCTCAACAGAGATCTGTAGGATGAATATGTGGTATAAACTCACCCATAGTTGATTTAAATGCATTTAATGTAGAAAAAAAAGCCACACAAATGAGAGCAGCCCTCCTGGTTTGCATTTCCTGCACACAGACGACCACCTTTCTCTGCTGTCTGTCAAAACCGAGTCCCGTCAAGGTTGACTGCACGAAACCACATTGACATGCAGCTTCCAGCAAAGCTCCAGAGACCAACGTCAGGCA